ATAACCACCAAGCTATGTCCTAGGGAGGCTGCAGGGACCCTGGATTCCCAAACTGTCCCCTGAGCACCAGCCTTCCCCAGATGCCACCCCATATGGTCCCTGTGGCATTGGCACCAAAACCTAAGCTGTCCAGCTTTAAAGGACAGTGGTGGTCATGCTGTCCACCACATCACCTTTTAGATGAAGAAGCAGGAAGAGGGCTTGAAGAATTGCTGGGACTCGCTGGAACTCAGAGCTCTGTGTACCTTGGTGGGGCTCCTCCTCAGCAGAGTATGGCCTCTCTGTTTTCTGATATTACTAATGGTTCCATCCAGGGGGAGGAGCCAGGACCCACTTGATGGGCATGTGATCTGTTCACTGGGGCTTCCCAGGTGGCGCTATTGTAAAGAACCCACCTGCCAATGCAGAAGACGTAAGGGACATGGGTTCGATCCCGGGGTCGGGAAGATTCCCTGGAGGAGAACATGGCAATCTACTCCAATATTCTTGCCTGGAGAATCCCATGGACAGAGGAGCCTGGTGGGCTACAGTCCATAGGGTTGTAAAGAGTTGGACAGGACTGAAGTGACTTAGCATGCATGCATGATCTGTTCAGCCACACAAGACCTACTCTTGGCTTAATACTCTGCTGTCACAGTCTTGAAATCTCTTAACAGTCTTTGAAAAAAGGACCTCACCTTTTCCCTTGGCACTGGGTCCCACAAATTATACAGCCAGTGCACAGTGCAGGGGGGTGAGGGGAGCCCACCAGGTCCTATGCTGCCTCCTTTTCCTAGGCCTTGGGATGGAGCTCCCCAGGAAAACATTTAGGTGCCCCCTCCATCCAGCATGAGATGCGATAGGAAATTTCTCCTGGGTAGAGCTAATAACTGTTAGAAGTGAACTTCAGTTCAGTCACTCAGTTGTGCCTGACTCTTTGCGACCATGGACTGCAGCATGCCAGGCTTCTCTGTCCATCACCAACTCCCGGAGCTTGCTCAAACTCATGGCCATCAAGTTGGTGATGCTATCCAACCATCTTATCCTCTGTCCTCCCCTTCTCCTGCCCTCAATCTTTCCCAGCATCAGGGTCTTTTCAAATGAACCAGTTCTTCACATTGGTGGCCAAAGTATTGGTTTCAGCTTCAGCATCAGTCCTTCCAATGAATATTCAGGACTAATCTTCTTTAGGATGGATTGGTTTGATCTCCTTCCAGTCCAAGGGACTCTCAAGAGTCTTCTCCAACACCACAGCTCAAAAGCATCATTCTTCGGTGCTCAGCTTTCTTTATAGTCCAGCTCCCACATCCATACATGACTACTGGAAAAATCATAGCTTTGACTAGACGGAACTTTGTTGGCAAAGTAATGTCTCGGCTTTTTAATATGCTGTCTATGTTGGTCATAGCTTTTCTTCCAAGGGACAAGCGTCTTTTAATTTCATGGCTGCAGTCACCATCTGCAGAGATTTTGGAGCCCCCAAAAATAAAGTCTGTCACTGTTTCCATTGTTTCCCCATCTATTTGCCATGAAGTGATGGGACCAGATGCCCCAATCTTAGTTTTTTGAATGTTGAGTATTAAGCCAGCTTTTCCACTCTCCTCTTTCACTTTCATCAAGAGGCTCTTTAGTTCTTCACTTTCTGCCATAAAGGTGGTGTATCTGAGGTTATTGATATTTCTCCTGGCAACCTTGATTCAGCTTGTGCTTCATCCAGCCTGGCATTTCACATGATGTACTCTTGGTACAAGTTAAATAAGCAGGATGACAATACTTTCCCAATTTGGAACCAGTCTGTTGTTCTGTGTCCGGTTCTAACTATTGCTTCTTGACTTGCATACAGATTTCTCAGGAGGCAGGTCAGGTGGTCTGGTATTCCCATCTTTTGAAGAATTTTCCAGTTTGTTTTTATCCACATAGTCAAAGGCTTTGGCATAGTCAATAAAGCAGAAGTAGATGTTTTTCTGGAAGTCTCTTGCTTTTTTGATGATCCAAGGGATGTTGGCAATTTGATCTCTGGTTCCTTTGCCTTTTACTTATTAGCATGTGAGATGAGTGCAATTGTGCGGTAGTTTGAACATTCCTGGGCATTGCCTTTCTTGGGATTGGAATGAAAATTGGCCTTTTCCAGTCCCATGGCCACTGCTGAGTTTTCCAAATTTGCTGGCATATTGAGTGCAGCACTTTCACAGCATCACCTTTTAGGATTTGGATTTAGCTCAACTGGAATTCCAACACCTCCACTAGCTTTGTTCGTAGAGATGCTTCCTAAGGCCCACTTGACTTCGCATTCCAGGATGTCTGGCTCTAGGTGAGTGATCACACCATCGTGATTATCTGGGTCATGAAGATCTTTTTTGTATAGTTCTTCTGTGTATTCTTGCCACCTCTTCTTAATATCTTCTGCTTCTGTTAGGTCCATACCATTTCTGCCCTTTATTGTGCCCATCTTTGCTCCCTTAGAAGGCTAAAGATATTTCTGGGAGGGTGTGAGGGACAGCCCTGAAGGCTAAGTGCCTTCATTACCACCACTGTGTCATCTTGAACGACCTCTAAAAGTCTAGGTTTCCTCATCTGTAAAATGGGGAGACTAGAAGAGTTACTTCATATATGTGTGTAAAGAGGGCTCAACACAGCACCTGGCATCGAGTAAGTGCTCAATAAGTCAGCCATTCTCTATTCCAGGTTGAAGTCCTCATTTCTCAGGAGGCTTGCAGATTCCCAGAGTTTCTAAGCCTTGGAAGCCCCCAGTCCTGTCTCCTTGTCCCTCTCAGGAGGTCAGTGCTGAGGGACATGATAAAAGCTGCCATTACCTGGGCGCCACTGGATGCTGTGCCTGGGCACTGCCCCCAGGACCTCCCTTCAGGGGACTCTTCAGCCCAGGCTAACTAGAGCCCAGCCCTGCCCTGAGTCAAAAGAAATCAGTGATTCTAAAGATTAGGGAAGCAGGCCTCAGGAAGGGGCCTGCTCTGTGCTAGAAGAGGCATGACTCTGAAATCATGTTGCCTTCACACGTGTTGAATTTCTGCTCTGCCAGTTGCCAGCTGTTGATCTTGGGCAGGTTACCTAGCTTCTGCAAACTCCAGCGTCCTTATTTGTAAAATGAGGATTATTCCGAGGGCTAAATATGCTAAGGCCGTAAAGCACTGAGCCAAGGGCTGGCCCACACAGATGGTAACTAATAGATGTTTGTGGAATCAATGAATGAATGAATAAGCTAGTGGTTGGAGCTGTTTGCTGTGGTCAGAGGCCCTTGAGGGAAGACTTGTGAGCTGGTAGAGGTGGGCGTGGGGCAGGGACAAGAGTCACACGTAGACAGGGGCGGGGAGGGAGAGGGGAGAAATATCCAGATCATCATAACTCGCACACACACAGTACTTCGTGTGCCTGTGTACTCCTCAACATACTCCTCAGTTAACTCATGTCATCCTCCGACAAGCCTACGAGGTGGTCTTTCCTGCACCCCCATTTTACAGATGAGGAGACTGAGCCCAGACAGCGTGAGTAACTTGAGCTAGATCACACAGCTAGTAAGGCATGGAGTGGAAGCAGGCAGCCTGGCTCCAGAGGCCATGTTCTTAACCAATATACCGTATCCACTGTCCCAAGCTTTTTTTCTTTTTTTACAAATTTATTTATTCATGACTGTGTTGGGTGTGGGGTGCTCTGGGCTTTCTCTAGTTGGGGAGAGTGGGGACTACTCTCTAGTTGCGGTGGGCAGGCTTCTCATTGCAGTGGCTTCTGCTCTTGTGGAGCACGGGCTCTAGGGTGCATGGACTCTAGGGTGCATGGGCTCAGTAGGTGTGGCGCATGGGCTTAGTTACCCCATGGCATGTGGGATCTTCCTGGACCAGGGATTGAACCCATGTCCCCTGCATTGGCAGGTGGATTCTTAACCACTAGACTACCAGGGAAGTCCCCCACCCCAAGCTTTGACCATATCCTTTGAGCTGTGAGAGGTGGCATCTTCATCTCTGCCACTGCTCTGGTCCTGACTGGGCTGTGAGACTGATCTCCAGAGACCCTCTTCCCCACTGAGAAGAAACGGGCAACATGAGAGAGTGGGTATTTCCCGACAGGCCCAGCCCTTGAGCACAGCCCAGGCCCCAGGGACCATCACCAGAACCTAAACTCTGGCCACCTGGCAGCTGACTTGTTGGGATGCAGAGCTTTCAGGTTGAAGAGCTCACACGGGGATGGGCAAAGAGGAGGATGCAGGGGCATCTGTTGGCCACAGCAAGCCGGGGGGCCTGGAGCCGTGTGAGAGGAGGCGCCCAGGATCCTCACGGGGCCTGGGTACCTGCCACGTGCTCTTGGGCTGAGGGTTGGGTTGGCCAGGGCCGTTAACTCGTCAGAGGAGTCAGAAACCCGGGCTCTGTTTGGTAAACTTGTGGGGGTCGTTCCCTGCTCTGAGCTGTAAGATGAGGGAGCGGGGGTCACGGTCTAGCCGTACCCGCCTCAGAATTAGGTGGGTCTTGTGTGCATCAGTGCATGTGGAAGGCATGCTTAAACTCGGGAACCACGCAATCCTGTGAGGTAATGAGGCAATGTGGACCGCGAGGGCTCTGGGGCTGGGTGGCCAAGCTCAGAGTGGCTCGGGTTAGTCATTTCACTCGGTACAACAGTGATGACACCACGTGTGTGAGCCTTGACCGGGTGGGTGACGTGCCTGCAACGTGCTCTCCTTCAGCGCTCACCACAGCCCTCTGCGCTGTGCGCTGTAATCAGCCCCATGTCACAGAGGGGAAACTGAGGCTCCGAGAGGTCACCTCCTCATCTGGTCACACAGCAGCGAAGTGGCGGAGCCAGGACTCTAACTGCGGCAGCCGGCTCCACGGCCCAGCTGCTCCGCCACACCTGCTGGCTGGGGCTGTCTGAAGACAAAATGGGACCCTCGAAAGTGTGAGCTCAGGGCCTGGCACCTTGTGCCAGGCAAATGCGAACTGCTGCTGTCCTTTCTAACTGGCTTGGTGCCTGGAATCCCCAGGCCTCACACCCCTGTTCTCCTTCCTCCCCACCAGGACGTCGCCACAATGCAATTCTGTGCCAACAAGCTGGACAAGAAGGATTTCTTTGGGAAGTCTGACCCCTTCTTGGTGTTCTACAGAAGCAACGAGGATGGAACGTGAGTTACCCAGTAACACTTCACCCCCCACTTCCAGGGGCGGGGGTTGGGGGGGGGGCTGAACAGTGATGACTTGCTGGGTCGGCTGGCTTGGGCCATCTCCCCCTGGGGCTGCCCTGGGGCCCCTGCTCTGGGGAGACATCAAGGGGCCCCAGGAGCTCCAGGGGCTCCTGGCTGCACAGATGGGGCTGGTGGGGGACAGATGGCAAGCCCTCAGTGACATTCTGAGGGTCTTAGTGATGGCAAGTGCTGAGCATGTCAGAGATGGAGGCAAAAACAAGCAAGAACTCGGGGTCCCTCTGACAGTCCACTCCTTCAACATCGATCAGTCCCCATGTCTAAACCTGTCTTCACCCATCCACAGCCCTCTGACACCCCACGACACATGTCCCCCCATTTCTTCCTCCTCAGCATGGCAAATCTGCACCCATCTCCCCACCTGGCCCCACACTCTGCCACAGGCTTCATTCAAACTCCCTCCCATCTTTGAAACCAACTCCCCCCTCCCCAATCTCCTTCTCTCCTCTCCTTCATCTGGAAGCCACCCACAGTGTGATGGAAAGACACACGACTCATTAGTCAATGTAGGTCACCGATGTACACAGAGGCACAGATTCTAGGTTGAGGGTCTGGGGACCTGAGTCCTCTCCACCAACCGGCTGTGTGACCCCAGGCAAGTGTGCCCTCTCTCTGAGCCTGTTTTCTCATCAGTGAAATGATCTGGTTGAACGAGGCCGTCTCCACGGTCTCTTTAAGCATCATAGCTCTGGGAGGCTGTGGCCACTTACGGCTGGGATTCTGCAGAATGAGGAAGCAATGGGGCCAGGGAGGTTAATTAGAGAAGCGCTGCTGGAGAGGGGAACTGGGGAGCAGGTTTTGAAGGAGAGAAAGAAAATGGGTCCATGAGGGTTGGGGGTTGGGAGGGGAGGGGAGGCTCAGGGAAGAAGAACAGTCTAGAGAAAATGTGTGTGCAGAACTAGTGTGTCCTGAGCAGAGGGCAGGGAGGCCTTGCTAAGGCCCCTAGAATCTGAAATTCTGGGTGGATGGGTGTGTGTTGGGGGGCAGGGCAGCAGCAGAGAGGAGGTGTTTCACTTCAAGGGAAAAACGGATTTTTAAACCTGAACGTACAAAACAAGGGAAATTTGGTACGATCATTTGCATAACAAAAGGATTCTTTGTCTCACCAGAGGACTCCTAGCAGAATTTCTTTAAATAATCCTTGTTGACTTTGACTTGACTTGAGGGAGGGAGGAACTGGTCGGAGTGATGTTCTGGGCGCCCATGGAAAAGTCCACGCAGCTCCCCTCGGGTGGGGCCGCGCCAGGGCTCGTCTCAGAGGGGAGGGCCGGCTGGCCGGCAGCGGGGAGGGGCTCGGGCTGTGGAGCAGGCGAGGGGTGTGTTGCAGGGTGTCTGCCCGTGATTAATCCGGCAGCGCGGTGTGTAGGATGGACGGGGAGGGGGCGGGGGCTGGGAGAGACTCGTGACTGACACGGTGAGCAGGTGGGAGGTGCTGAGCCGGGCGAGCTGCGCCGTGAAGACCGGCAGGGGCGGAGGCGGGAGGGGAGGATGGGGCGAGCGGCCGGTGCAAGGCCTGGCCTAGCAGAACTGGGGTGGGGGCTGCAGCCACACCCCCGCCCGGTAGAGGAACTGCGGGGAACCCGAGTGTTGAAAACAGCAGAGGAGTTGGTCAGATGGGGCCGGCGATGGGGGCTTATTTGAGGGCGGGTTCCGCTGGAAGCAGGGGCTGGGTCTCTCTGGGGGTGGGGGCAAACCCATGGCAGTTGGAGAAACTGATCCAGAGGGAGTGAAATGTCACGCCTGCCATCCCAGGAGGGAAAAGGGCAGGAAACATCCACGGAGCACCCCTTGTGCTCCCGGCCCTGTACATACCTTGTCTTCTTCAATCAGAATCACTCGTCTGGGAGCAGGAATGTGGTGACTGGACAGCCAGGCTCGGCCAGTGGCTGCCAGTCATCAGCTGTGTAACTTTAGGCGAGTGTCTGAGCTGATGGAACTTTCTGGGATGGTGGAAATGTTCTGTATCTCACTGTCCCGTATGGTCGCCACCATGTATAGCTGCTGAGCCCCTTGAAAGGGACTAGAGCGGCTGAGAAACTGATTTTTTTTTTTCATTTCAGTTAATTTAATGTAAATAGCCACGTGTGGCTAGTGGCTGCCATTCTGGGCAGTGGCGCGCTACCCTCTGCGGTTCAGTTTCTTAGCGATGGGGAAAATCCTAACACTTCCCTCCCAAGGAAGCCGTGAAGAGTAAATGAGTTAATTCGGGTTATTAGAGCAGGGCCTGGCAGCATTCGTTACGGCTCTTTGGGGGGAGCTCAGTCACTTTCCTGGGGCTGCAAAGCTGGAGGCAGCGGCGCTGGGACCCCAGCTCGCATCTGTCTGAGGCAGTTAGTTCTCACCGCCCACCCCCGCACCCCACCTAGGGATCGTGTGTGTTGAAATGAATTGAACTGAGCTGGGAGATGACTGCGGGGACCATTTCCGCCCCAGGGCCTCGTCCCCCCACCCCCGCGGCAAGTACATCAGGGGATCAGGGGCCTGTGGATTTAGCGATGGAAAGGGGGAGGTTGGGGGAGCCTAAAGAAAGAGGTTTCAGGCAGGAGTCTGAAGCGGAAAGCAGACCACACAGGGAGCAGGAAGAAAGACATATAGGGAGGGCGTGAGGCTTAAGAGCATAGCCAACTTGCTCAGGCAGTTTGGCCGGCCTGGGCGGGAGCTCGAGAAGGCAGGGATTCCGGGTTCTGAAGAGGTGAGGAGGCCGAGAGGGTCCACACTAGGTCTGGTGTCTGTTCAGGTGGGAAGTGAGGGTTTTTGCGGGGTGTGAACCTCCCCCGCCCCGCCCGGCGCAGCCAGTTGCTGCTCCAGAGTCTCCCTTCTGGCCACTCCCCTCATCCCTCCGCACCCCAGCCAGGCTCCTCTCCCTGACCGACCTGCTGCCCCAGCTGCGGGCAGCGGTGGCCCCTCCTCCCCGTCCCCATCCGTCTCATCACCAGCTCCGGGGTGTGGGGAGGTCTCCCACATGAACCTCACACTCCAGCGGGTGGGCGAGAAGGAACACAGAAGAGAAATGCTGAGCTGTGGTGACAGGAGTGACATTTTGACTAGTTGTCAGAGAAGAAGTGGCACAGGGCTGTGTGCTCAAGGGCGGGACCCAGGCACCTTCCCCTGTGACCTTTCCAAGCCAGGAGGTAGCTGGGGTGGGTGCTGGGGACTCTCAGGGGCACAGACCCGCCCTAAGCTCCACTCCTGCTCCCGGCTGCCCCTCCACGGGGGCTTCCAGGGCAGAGCCCCATCAGGCATGGAGTGGGGAGTGGGCCGGGCACTGGATGGGCGCCCAACTGGGATGAAGCCAATTCTGCACTTCCAGTTTGCAAAGCAAGCTCCTGGATTCAGCCTAGAAGAACCGAGAGGGTCTTAGAGATCCTCTCAGCCAGGGGCTTTAATTTCACTGGCTTGAAATGCCAGTGAAAGCTATGGAAACTCTCCTTTGAGAAATACATTTATTTGTTAGTTCATTCCAAAAAAATATTACATGAACACCTGACTAAGGGCCAGGTGCGCTTCTGAGAGCTAGAGTTATACCAGGGAACAAAGAAGGCAAAGCCTTGACCTTATGGAGCTTACATTTTGGTTTCAGACTGTAAAAGAAATGAGAAAGACCCTGTCAAATGTCAAATGGTGACAGATGGGATGAAAATAGCATATAGAAAGGGACTGCTGCTGCTGCTGCTGCTGAGTCCATCAGTCGTGTCTGACTCTGTGCAACCCCATAGACGGCAGCCCACCAGGCTCCCGTCCCTGGGACTCTCCAGGCAAGAATACTGGAGCGGCAATGGTGAAAAATTGAAAGCATTTCCCCTAAAATCAGGAACAAGACAAGGGTGCCCACTCTCACCACTACTATTCAACATAGTTTTGGAAGTTTTGGCCACAGCAATCAGAGCAGGAAAAAAAGTAAAAGGAATCCAGATAGGAAAAGAAGAAGTGAAACTCTCGCTGTTTGCAGATGACATGATCCTCTACATAGAAAACCTTAAAGACTCTACCAGAAAATTACTAGAGCTAATCAACGAATATAGTAAAGTTGCAGGATATAAAATTAACACACAGAAATCCCTTGCATTCCTGTACACTAACAATGAGAAAACAGAAAGAGAAATTAAGGAAACAATACCATTCACCATTGCAACAAAAAGAATAAAATACTTAGGAGTATATCTACCTAAAGAAACAAAAGACCTATACATAGAAAACTATAAAACACTGATGAAAGAAATCAAAGAGGACACAAACAGATGGAGAAACATACCATGTTCATGGATTGGAAGAATCAATATTGTCAAAATGGCTATTCTACCCAAAGCAATCTATAGATTCAATGCAATCCCTATCAAACTACCAACGGTATTTTTCACAGAAATAGAACAAATAATTTCTCAATTTGTATGGAAATACAAAAAACCTCAAATAGCCAAAGTAATCTTGAGAAAGAAGAATGGAACTGGAGGAATCAACCTGCCTGACTTCAGGCTCTACTACAAAGCCACAGTCATCAAGACAGTATGGTACTGGCACAAAGACAGAAATATAGATCAATGGAACAGAATAGAAAGCCCAGAGATAAATCCACGAACCTATGGGCACCTTATCTTCGACAAAGGAGGCAAGGATATACAATGGAAAAAAGACAACCTCTTTAACAAGTGGTACTGGGAAAACTGGTCAACCACTTGTAAAAGAATGAAACTAGAACACTTTCTAACACCATACACAAAAATAAACTCAAAATGGATTAAAGATCTAAATGTAAGACCAGAAACTATAAAACTCCTAGAGGAGAACATAGGCAAAACCCTCTCCGACATAAATCACAGCAGGATCCTCTATGACCCACCTCCCAGAATATTGGAAATAAAAGCAAAAATAAGCAAATGGGACCTAATGAAACTTAAAAGCTCTTGCACAACAAAGGAAACTATAAGCAAGGTGAAAAGACAGCCATCAGATTGGGAGAAAATAATAGCAAACGAAGCAACAGACAAAGGACTAATCTCAAAAATATACAAGCAACTCCTGCAGCTCAATTCCAGAAAAATAAATGACCCAATCAAAAAATGGGCCAAAGAACTAAACAGACATTTCTCCAAAGAAGACATACAGATGGCTAACAAACACATGAAAAGATGCTCAACATCACTCATCATCAGAGAAATGCAAATCAAAACCACAATGAGGTATCATTACATGCCAGTCAGGATGGCTACTATCCAAAAGTCTACAAGCAATAAATGCTGGAGAGGGTGTGGAGAAAAGGGAACCCTCTTACACTGTTGGTGGGAATGCAAACTAGTACAGCCGCTATGGAGAACAGTGTGGAGATTTGTTAAAAAACTGGAAATAGAACTGCCATATGACCCAGCAATCCCACTTCTGGGCATACACACCAAGGAAACCAGATCTGAAAGAGACACGTGCACCCCAATGTTCATCGCAGCACTGTTGATAATAGCCAGGACATGGAAGCAACCTAGATGCCCATCAGCAGACGAATGGATAAGGAAGCTGTGGTACATATACACCATGGAATATTACTCAGCCATTAAAAAGAATTCATTTGAATCAGTTCTAATGAGATGGATGAAACTGGAGCCTATTATACAGAGTGAAGTAAGCCAGAAAGATAAAGAACATTACAGCATACTAACACATATATATGGAATTTAGAAAGATGGTAATGATAACCCTATATGCAAAACAGAAAAAGAGACACAGATGTATAGAACAGACTTTTGCACTCTGTGGGAGAAGGCGAGGGTGGGATGTTTCGAGAGAACAGCATCGAAACACGTATATTATCTATAGTGAAATAGATCACCAGCCCAGGTTGGATGCATGAGACAAGTGCTCGGGCCTGGTGCACTGGGAAGACTCAGAGGGATTGGGTAGAGAGGGAGGTGGGAGGGGGGATCGGGATGGGGAATACATGTAAATTCATGGCTGATTCATGTCAATGTATGACAAAACCCACTACAATATTGTAAAGTAATTAGCCTCCAACTAATAAAAATAAATGAAAAAAAAAAAAAGAATACTGGAGCGGGATGCCATTTCTTTCTCCAATGCATGAAAGTGAAAAGTGAAAGTGAAGTCCCTCAGTCGTGTCCGACTCTTAGCGACCCCATAGACTGCAGCCCACCAGGTTCCTCCGTCCATGGGATTTTCCAGGCAAGAGTACTGGAGTGGGGTGCCATTGCCTTCTCCATAGAAAGGGACTAGGAGCTGTCAAAATCAGGGGACCAGGGGGCTATAAAATCTAGATGATGGTGCTCTGGGCAGGTACTCATGTCACAGAGATGACATTTGAGCAAACACCTGAAGGAAGCGATCAGGTGAGCCAGGAACATGGGAATCTGGATGAGAGTCGTCCAGGCAGGGGACAGCAAGCACGTGAACCTCAGACACCCAGTTCCACTGATGATTTCAAGGGTTCACAGGTTCCTAAAGCCCACCCCCAGATCCTTCCATGGGTTTCGGATAAAGAAAGTCTGATAGTGGCCAACTCCCTGGGATCACAGGTGAGGAAACAGAGGCCCAGAGGGGGACAGGCTTGTTCAAGGTCACCCAGAGAGCAGCAGGGGCCAGAACCACATCTCCTGACACTCCTGTCTGGTGCAGGAGTCCTCTCTGCAGCGTTTTCAAGAGATGGCTGTCTAACTTCTGCTTGGATGCTGCTAGTGATGGGCAGCTCATCACCTCACAGAGCCATTCTTTCTACTGTGTGGCAACTGCCGAGATGAGCCCGCCAGCCCCTCTGGTGTCAGGACTGATGGCCTTCCTTCTCTCCTCTGCCAGGTTCACCATCTGCCACAAGACGGAGGTCATGAAGAACACCCTAAATCCAGTCTGGCAAACTTTCTCCATTCCCGTGAGAGCCCTCTGCAACGGGGACTATGATCGGTGAGATGAGAAAATGTCCCTCTCCCCAAGCCCAGGTGCGGGGCGCACAGTCACGTGGATGAGGGCCAGTCCATTGGTAGGAGCAGACCTCCTGGAGCTGCATGCTGGTGGCCCTGTGCAGGATGGGCCTGGGAGTCCCTCTGCCTCCCTGGGCAGTGTCTGCTTTTCATCTCTTCACAGCCCTTCCCTCCCCATGCCCCGCCTCTTTCCTCCCAATCTGAGTTCCCATTGATGGAAGCCCTCCCAGGCTGGGGGTGGGGGCTGGAAGGTACCAGGGATTTCTGGGAAGCCAGGGTGTTGGGGCGCCGGGCCTGGAGCTCAATGGCTGATCTTTTCATTGTGCCCCAGATGGCAGATCTAATTGCAAGTAGAGGTGGCCTGGTCCCCACCAGCCCCAACTCCTGGCTGAGGGTCTCTGGGGAGTCAAGATCCTAGGATATGCTCTGCCAGACAAGTTGCCATAAGTGGGGGTTAGGATGCAGTGCAAAGAGCTTGTGGGATTTTTTTTGATCCTTCAAAGCCTACTCATAATACATGTCCTCACAGTTTGAGTGCAGATTGCTGAGTGTGGATGCCAGATACCTACTTTCTAATCCTGGCTCTGTGATGAAAAGGCACTGTCAACCTGGGCAGACTCTGGCCTGTCTGAGCCTCAGTTTCCTCATCTGTAAATTGGGTATTTAAACATCCACCTACCTTGTAGGGCTGCTATGAAGCTCACATGATACAAGCTATATAATAAGGCTCTGGTTTGGAGACCTGGGTTCAACTCCTGGGTCCGGAAGCTCCCATGGAGAAGAAAATGGCAACCCACTCCAGTATTCTTGCCTGGAGAATCCCATGGGCAGAGGAGCCCGGCAGGCTAGAGTTCATGAGATCGCAAGAGTCAGACGCGACTTACTGCTGTCTTTCTTTCTTTCTTGCATAAAATGCTTCCCCGGTGGCTCGGCGGTAAGGTATCCATCTGCCAATGCAGGATACACAGATTTGATCCCTGGGTCGGGAAGATTCCCTGGAGAAGGAAATGGCAACCCACTCCAGTATTCTTGCCTGGGAATTCTCAAAGACAGGGGAGCCTGGCGAGCTAGAGTCTATGGGGTTGCAAAAGAGTCAGACATGACTTAGAGACTAACAACAATGCATAAAACACCATTCAGCATTTCATCCACAAATGTTTATTGACTCCCTGCCATGTGACAGGCACTGCGTTAGATGCTGGGAAGTCAGCAGGAAAACAGAACACACAGTCTTCACCCTTCACCCAACCTCTCGGAGTTTACATGCTAGTGGGGGAGGCAGACATTAATCCAATAATCACACAAAGAAACGTATAATTACAAATTGTGGTAAACGCAGCGGGTGGGGGAGAGGGGTTTGTGGGATGGAGCTGTAACACAGAATTGGTCCGTGTTTAGTCACAAGAACCCAGCCTGGTTCCCTGGTGATTGCTAGAGCTGGTGGGTGAGCTGGTAGGGGCTCCTTGGTCAGGGCCGCCCAGGTGACCCTGAGGGAGCTGGCCCCTCTTCTGGCCCCTCCGACAGGAACACTCGGCTGTCAGAACAGACACCTCAGGGCACCCCGACTGGTGGAATTGGTATGGGTTCCCCAGTATTCTGTTCCCAGTGGCTACTGACAGGGTGTGTGCGGTGGGTGAGGGGACAGGAGTGAGCAGATGGTTGGCCTCCAGGCGCCCCTGTCTCCCTCCCTCTAAGGCTGCTGATCCAGGAGATGAAGCAGCTTCTTTTTCCTGCCTCTCGGCTGGGACAAAACTGCCACAATTTATTCCGCAGGTGGTCATGGAGCACCTACTGTGTGCTGGGCAGTTGTGTGGCATTCAAGGGAACGTAGCCACGTTTCCAGCTTCCCAGGTAGCTCAGTGGTAAAGAATCCTCCTGCCAAGCAGAAGAGGCAGGTTTGATCCCTGGGTCAGGGAGATTCCTGGAGAAGGAACTGGCAACACACTCCAGTATTCTTGCCTGGGAACTCCCATGGACAGAGGAGCCTGGCGGGCTACAGTCCGTGGGGTTGCAAAAGAGTCGGACATGACTTAGTGACTAAACAGCAGCAGCAGCCACATGTCCATTTTCAGGGGGATGATAGCCTGGCCACAAGGAGCACAGATGTGCACACATGTATTTTATTTTAGTACTATTATTTTGGCCGCCCTGCGTGACATGTGGGATCTTAGTTCCCTGACCAGGGATCGAACCTGCACCCTCTGCAGTGGAATCATGGAGTCTTAACCCCTGGGCCGCCTGGGAAGCCCCTGCACACATGTATTTTAGATAGCTAAATAGCTGTGCAAGATGAGGCTGGAAACAAAAAGAGGCATTTCAGTCAAACAAACTCCTGTGCCTGGCCAAGTCCTGGGCCTTCTAGGGTGGTGGGGAATTGGGGGGGTTGAAGCGATAGGGTCTAAAGGAGGCTCGGGGAGGTTGGAAGGTTGAGGAGGGGTCAGTTCCTGGGGCCCAGGGCTGTAGGAAAAATGGTTGGGATAGAGAGGAGAGGAGGGAGACGTTCAAGGTTGGGGATGGAAGGATGTGGCAGCTCAAGTCTCAGGGGTGTAGAAGGAATTGGGATTTCTGAGCCCACTGCCTAGAGGTTTTTGGGGGGGTCCAGCTGACCCCCCACAGCCCTGCATCCCGAGAAAGGACTCCTAGGGGCCTCAGAAGCCAGCCTTGTCAGGGTCAGCCAGGAGGACAGCCTGGCTTAGAGGCCTGGGTTCACTCTTCAGTCATGGGAGGAGGTGAGGGGTGATGGGGAGGTGCAGGTCACGAGGAAAGTCCAGGTGGGCTCCCATCCTCCCCATCCCATGCTGAGTCCTGGACTGGCTTCCCCCCCACCCCTCCCCGAGATGGCCACGCAGCTTGGGCCCTCCTCCAAAGCCAGGAACAGACTGACTGTGGTGTGACTGACAGGGGTGTGAATGGAGCGGCCGTGTGTGTTATCCTGGCCTGCTGAGCCCTAGGGGCACCTACATACCCAGCAGCCGCTCAGGATCTGCTAGAATCTAGGAGGCCCGCTGGGCAGGAGAGGGTGGGCCTTGTGCCGGAAAGCAAGGCCCCTTTCCACGCCTTCCAGGGCAGCTCTTCCAGCCTCACGGGACACATCGGCTTTAATCCAGGAGCCCTGTCTTCTAAGCCAGCCAGATACCGGGCACCGTCTTGGGTGCCATGGACGCACTGAGCTATCAGACCCAAGCCTCCTTCTGAGGTTGCTCCCAGGCCAGGGTGGGAGACAGACGGGTCATAGTCATAGCAGCAAAGGCTCCTATAACACTTTCGAGGTAATTGATATATGTGAGCTAATTTAATCCTCCCAACAATTAGTAACCTCTTCTGAAAAAGGTACAAATACCACCCACATCTCATTGGTAAGGAGACTGAGGCCCAGCGAGGTTAAGTGACTCACCCAGGGTCTTACTGCCAGTCAGGGGTCATACCAGGAGCTGGATCCCAGCAGGCTGACTCTAGAATCTGTGTTCTTTTTTTTTTTTTTTTCTCTTTTTACTGATTTTATTTTATTTTTTTAAATTATAGAACTTTTATTTTTTCCACTTCTGCAAAAGGACTTTATTTTTTTTTCCATTTATTTTTATTAGTTGGAGGCTAGTTACTTTACAGTATTGTAGTGGTTTTTGCCATACATTGACATGAATCAGCCATTGATTTACATGTGTTCCCCATCCTGAACCCCCCTCCCACTTCCCTCCCCAAGAATCTGTGTTCTTAAACTCCAGCGCTCTGCTGACAAATGGTCAAGACATGGGGTTAGTGTGGTGGGATTGGAGAACAGCTGTCGGAGAGCTTTGCCCGCAGGCTGAGGCAGGTCTGCTTTGAGTCTGGAGGTCGAAGGAAGACTCCAAAGGCCTGACATTTACCTGGATGTGGGAGTGAAAGAGACACAGAGGTTATCAGGGTTTGGAGCTTGGAGGATGAGGGATGGTACCACTGATGGAAATGGGAAGTGTGACAGGGAGCCAGGGTATGTGGCTATGGGACAGGGACAGTGGGGTTCTACTCAGGGGAGAGGAGAACAGGATCTGGGGGTCCCCAGGAAAGGGCTGGCAGAGGTGCCCAAGGCCCCAGGGGAAAGGCACAGGTCAGGAACAGGAGAAAGAAGAGGGGATGTCAGAGAGAAAAGAGGGGTCCAGAGGCGGGCAGTCATAGCCACGGGAGAGATGAGAAGAGGGTTCAAACAGAAGTATCAACTGCTCTTGTAAAAAAGAGGGCCGGGGGTGAGAACAAGGGATGTACTGAGAAAGGGTAGTTTTCTTGGGATGATGGGGGTGGAAGCCAGTTAATCTTTTTAAGATTTACTGAGTCTTTAGGACACAGGCCAAATTGTGTCCTAATTCGTTGAAATACAGTATCTTATTTTATGAGTTTAAATTTCACAATAACCCTCGAAGGTGGTACTAGTGAGGTGCCCATTTCACAGATGCGGTAATGGAGGACCACAGATTCTATAACTTTCCTGGGCAAGGAGAAGGTCGTTTCTCTTCTCCAGAAGTCACCTCTCGTCTGGCCCTGTGATTTGGGGTTCCCCTAGTTTGGGGTCCCTCCAACTTTAATGTGTTTCTAGTCCACATAAGGCCAAACCCAAGCAACCCAGCTGAGCAGAACTGGAGTCTGAGGAAATAGCATCCAGATCAGAACGAATCTAGCCCTCCAGCAGGGGGATGAAGGCTCTTTTCCTGCCTTCTGCAGTCCCCCTGCTCTGTCCTTGAATATTCTGTGACTTGAGGATTTGTCTCTGCGCGACCAAATTCCTCTAGGTCGGGCTGCTCTCACTCACACCCTCATGGTGAATGAATAGCTTTTAGAAGAGTGATCAGGGTGCTGGGTTTTCACCTGGAGAGAGGAGAGGATTCCCAGGAGCCAGAGAAACTCTGGCCCCCTGGACTGAACGAGTTGCTTCTCCTTTGAGCTCCACTGCACACTGAGCCCCTGGGAGCGGCCAGGCGCAGTATGCGGCCTCAGTTAGGAGTGTCTGATCCCAGCTCACACGGGTGCCCCTGCACCCAGACAGAGGAGGCAGGGTGGTTGCCCACTGCCCCTGCTCTCACGTCTCGCTTCCTGCCTGGGCCCATGAGGCTCGATGCTTCTCTTCCTCTCCAGAGCACCTAGGAGTAATGGACTGGCTCAGTTAGTTTAGGGTGAACCCCGCAGGGCCTGTCTACCCTGGGAACTTGTAAGCATCAGGGAAGCGTGCCTTCTCCTGCCTGGGAGAGGCAGAGGTTCATTAGGAGCAGACCCGCAGCTCAGCTCGGAGGAGGCTATAGACAGAGGTGCTTGGTGTGCTGGGAGGGAAGCCGGGCATCTCTGCCAGTGTCCCCCATCCTTGTGAGGCTCGCACACACTGAGCTCTGTCATCCCTGCCCCACACATTCAGAGACCCACGGGACACCAGCTCCCAGCCCCGAGGCCTGGTGTCACTACTGACCAGTTCTGGGGAAAGCCACTCCCTTTGGAATTTTTTAAAAAATATTTATTTATCTGGGTGCATTGGCTTTAGCTGTGGCTCACAGGATCTTCAATCTTCATTGCAGCAGGCTGGATCTTTCGTTGCAGCCTGTGGGATCTAGTTCCTTGACCAGGGATTGAATCCAGCCCCTCTGCATTTGAGCACAGAGTCTTAGCCACTGAACCACCAGGGAAGTCTCTCCCTTTGGGATTTTGTGGAAGGAGGGTCTTGTTACTCTTGCCTACTTCACGAAGTTTTAGGACATCTTAGTCAGTCAACAGGTATTTAATAAGATGTATATTACCTAACCGGAGAAGGCAATGGCACCCCACTCCAGTACTCTTGCCTGGAAAATCCCGTGGACGGAGGAGCCTGGTAGGCTGCAGTCCATGGGGTCACTAAGAGTCGGACATGACTGAGCGGCTTCACCTTCACTTTTCACTTTCATGCATTGGAGAAGGAAATGGCAACCCACTCCAGTGTTCTTGCCTGGAGAATCCCAGGGATGGGGCAGCCTGGTGGGCTGCCGTCTATGGGGTCGCACAGAGTCGGACACGACTGAAGCGACTTAGCAGCAGCAGCAGCAGCATATTACCTAACAGGCATTCCTGGTGGCTTAGCAGTAAAGAATCCACGTACAGTTTGGGAGCTGCAGGAGACATGGGTTCGATCCTTGGGTCAGGAAGATCCCCTGGAGGAGGGTATAGCATCCCACTCCAGTATTCCTGCCTGGAAAATCCCATGGACCGAGGAAACTGGCGAGCTACAGACCACAGGGTCGCAAAGAGTCGGATACGACTGAAGCGACTTAGCACATATGCACGCATATTACCTAATAGATACCAGGCACTGTTCTGGAGGCTGAAGATACAGCAGTGTACAAGAGGAACAAAAACCCATGGCCTTGTGGAGCTGACATTTATATGCTGAATGAAATTGTTTGGGAGATGGGAGTTTAGAAAAAAGGCTTGAACGTTTTAGATGGAACAAACATGTGTCCAGTGCCAACTGTGTGAACAATGTGGTTGCCTTCTGATGGCAATCGTATAGTGGGTGTGATTATCCCATTTCACAGAGGAGGAGCCTCCAGGGCTTCCCCAGTGGCTGAGCAGTAAAGAACCTGCCTGCGACACAGGAGATGCAGGAGACATGGGTTTGATCCCTGGGTCAGGAAGATCCCCTGGAGGAGGGCATGGCAAACCATTCTAGTATTCTTGCCTGGAGAATCCCAGGGACAGAGGAGCCTGGCAGGGTAGTCTAGTGGGTCACACAGAGTTGGACACGACTGAAGCTACTGAGCAAGTGTGCAAAACAGTCTCTGAGAGTGAAGCCAGTTGCGCAGAGCCGCACAGCTAAGCGCCTGGAAAAGCTGGGATTGCCACCCAGGGCTGCCTGCTCCGGAGACCACTGTCTCCCCTTTCTGTCTCACTGCCTTCCAGGCGAGGTGCTCTGTGTTCTGAGCCTTTTTACGCCAAACAGATGTTCATTGTGTGAGGTCATTTCATTGTCCCACACCCTGGAGCCCCTTCTCCTGGGTGATGACCCCAGAAGTCACAACCTGACATGAGCCCTGGCTGGGCCTGTGCTCAAGGACTGGGAGCCAAGACGTGCAACCTAGGAGTGGCTCACAGGGTGACCTGGGGCTGCCCAGCCAGGGCTGGATGGTGACAGAGCTGTTAGTAAGTAGTCAAAGCTATGTCCGGCTTCTGCCACTGCCTCCCCCATCTCTGGGCACCTCCTTCTTCCCCGGTTCTGGAGGTTGCAGCATCCAGGCTCCTGTGACATCACCCCCACCACCACCCCTCGCAGCCATCCCTGGCTCCTCGATTGCTCAGGAATCTCACCCTCAGTGGTCTCAACCTCAGCTGCAACTTCCCATCCCCTGAGGAGCTTTTAACAATTCTCTGCACAGGCTGCACCCCTGGGCCAATTGATTCTGAATCTCTGGGGTGAGGCCTCACCATCAGGATTGCTAAAGCTCCCCCATGGGATCCGATGTGTAACCAAGTTTGAAAAACAGTCATTTCATCTAGAGAGGTTAGAGGCTCTGGCAGCACATTAGAACCAGCCAAGGGACTCGTAAAAACTACCCGTGCCGGAGTCCTTTCCGTACCAATTGAACATGCCTTCTGGCGATGGGATTTTTAAAAAACCTCCCCGGTGATTTTTTTGGATCTCCATGGCTGTGGCTATGAGTGGGGTCCTTCCACAGCCTCTGAGCGTGGGGCTGTCCCTGATCTGGGCACCTGAGGGCCTAGTGTTGGTGATCCAAGGGGAGGGACTCCATGCTGAGGTCCCTGAAAGTCCCCTGCAGAGCTGGAGGGGGAGGCTCTGGGGAAGGACTGGGAGACCTTGGGGAGCAGAGTCCTAGCTCAGACCCTCACCAGCTGTGTGACCCTGGACAAGTCACTGGGTGTCCTTAGGGCTCAGTTTCCCCAACTGAAAACCAGTGGCTGGAGGTCATGTCTCCAGAAAATGCATCTCAGTAGCACTTGTGGCGACTTTCAACCTAGATTCCTGGGCCCTGCCCAGAACTGCCAAGAATTGGACCTGGGGCTGGGGTGGGGGGGCGGGGGGCGGTGGGGGCGCGGGGAGTCTGTGTGTCTGAAAAGCTCCCTGGTGATCTGCCAGGTGGCCAGACTAGGATGCTGCCAAGGTCACTTTCAGCCTCGTCATTCTAGGAATCAGAAGTTGCAGAGCCCAGGTACCCAGGCTCAGGTGCCCCTCGTTTAAGTAAACTCCATGTGAAAAACTATCCCAAGTGTGGCCTGAATGCTAAAGTGGAGAGAAGGAGGCATTTTTAGAGACCCAGTGCATGTCAGGCGCCTTTACCAACCTGTCCCCACAGCTATGCTGTATGGCCCTTAGTTGTTGCTTAGTCGCTAAGTCTTGCAACCCCATGGACTGTGGCCCGCCAGGCTCCTCCACCCATGGGATTTCCCAGGCAAGAATACTGGAGTGTGTTGCCATTTCCTTCTCCAGGGGATCTTCCTCACCCAGGAATCAAACATGCACCTCCTGCTTGGCAGGCGGATTCTTTACCGCTGAGCCACTGGAGAAGCCCCAGGGCCCCTTACTATGCCTCCTTCAAAATGGTTTCGTGGCTCAGTGAGGTTAAGTGACATCTCCAGGTCCCACTGCTCAAGGGCCCAGCACCCCAGTCCACACCCCAGCCACTTTCCACTCCTTCCAGACCACCAGCTCATCTTCAGAGGCCTAGGGGTTCTTTTGTCTTCCCATTATAATTCACCTCAGAGAGATGTAGTGTTTTGTTTTTCACAGGAATTCAAAGGATTTCTCTAATTGGTGGGCTTCTGTGCCCGCGCCACTTCACATTTTGGTAACAAAAAATCCAGTTGCTGCCCAACCTCTGGGGCACCCCTCCATTTCCGGAACTGTTTCTATGCCAATGCGGGAGAATCCACACCCACCCCCAGGCCCCAAGGAGGCTCATCTGAAGGCAGACAGCGCCTCCTTCTGGGAGCTCCGGAACCCCAAGGCCAACTCCCTGCAGCCCTGATGAGCTGGGCTGCGGCCACGGGCGGGATGATGAGATATTCATGGAACACCAGCCCAGGCAGCCGCCTCTGCCTGCCCTGTTTAGAACTGAAGGCTGGAGACCCCAGTGCCCCCCATGCCTCTCCCACCTCCCCAGACCCTGACCCCGCAGAGGGACCCGGGCGTCTGCCCCGTCCCTGGGCATCCCTGGAGGACAGCTGGCACCAAGGGTTAACCCGCAACCCTCCACCACCCTCCTCCGCCTCTGGTCTGCTAGCCTGCTGCCATGGAAACGGGCTAAAAATAAAATGGGCTCCCAAAGCCCAGCATGGAGCTCAGGAGTCAAAACAAACTAATTAAAGCAGCCAGGCTAAAATGTGAAGATAATTACGCCCTCACTCGGGAGCCAGTCTGGCATGGAAAAGCTCGGAGGGCCATCCCCAAGTCAGGGTCCCTGAGCCCACCCCTGACGGGCTGCGGGGGGAGCGGGGAGGGGTTCCCCACCACTCAGACTCCTCGGACCCCAGCGTCCCACCACACAGTCTTGTGACTCCGCCCCAGGAGAGCCCACCCTGCTTAGGTCTTGGGTCTAGGGAACACCACACTCCCGCTACGACAGTCCCACCCCGATAGACTCAGAGTAGGGCTTCATGCTGGGACCTGTGCCCCCTTTGGGGTGGCCAAGGGGAAGGTGGGGTGAACTAGAGTCTGAGGCTGCTTCTCTACATCTGGCCTGAAATTCAGGGAAGTCTCTATGCAGTCTTGGGGCTGCAGAATTGCTCCTTTGTCTCCTGGGTCTCTCCACCACGGGCCCTGGGAGCCTGCTGGGTGTTCCTATATCCTCTTTTGGCCCAAAAGCAGGAGAAGGGCCCCATCCTCAGGCCACGCAGGTGCTGGGTGAAGTCCATCCCACCACGGGCTCTTTGCCTTACAGGACCATCAAGGTGGAGGTGTACGACTGGGATCGAGACGGCAGGTAAGCTGCAGAAGGACAGCAGGTGAGCTGGGAGGGGCCCGCCCCGGGAGGAGGGCGAGTCTTGCTCTCGGGGAGAGAGCTGTGCCCAGGCCCCCCACACACGGCAGCTCTCGGGTGAGGGGCCTGGGTTTTCTTCATCCCTGCCCAGCTCGGCTGAGGCACCAGAAGGCCAGTGTCCTACAGGACGTGGCGCAACGGGAGAAAGAGGCCTCTTTTCCTCAAATAGTTGTCTAGTGGCCACCCAATGTCTAAAGTCTCCCCCACACTTGGGAGAATTGAGGATTTTCTGAAACGTGCGTGTTCTAAGGTACAGACAGATGTCAGCGACCTCCTGAGCATTCGTGATCACGTTCTCTGTGTGAGGTTAAGCATTGTGGGGTGATCTAAGTGCAGAAGACAGGCTGGCCCTCAGCGACTTCCTGAAACCCAGCAGGGAGGCCCTTGACTCCTCAGAAGAGCTCTTTGCAGGGAGCAGGGTTTGGGGGAGGTAAGCTTTGACGCAGACGAATGGGCCCAGGAGCCATCAGGCAGAGGCCGAGGAGAACTGAGTCCAGCACTGGGCGGGGCCGGGGTCTTCCTCCTCTGTGCATCTGAGTGCCCCCAAGGAGCCGGTATGCCTGGGAATCCATAGACAGGACCAGAATAGGCCTCTCACAACTTTAGTAGAACCCTTAGCCGCTCTTGCCAGTTGAACCAGATCCAAGTATGCCATCCCTCCTGACTTTTGTGAGCCCTGCATCCTGTGGCGCTACAGGGGCTGTCGTAGTGGGGCCTTAAGCCCTGCAGTCTCCACTGGTGCCTCCTAAGTCTGGGACGTGGACAGGGGATGCCGTGGAGAGAGGTGCACACGCAGCTCTAAATCAGGCCCCAGCTTCTTCCAAGGAGCTCACCTTTCCAACATCTTCCGATAGAGAAGCTCCAGCACCAACACTACCTCTGCCAACTCACCCTGGCCCCTCCTCTCTCCACTTTAACCACATCACAGGCAAGTGGGCCTCAGGCTTCCACCCAGCACTCACCTCATCATCTTACCCTGGGGTTCCCCATGCTTCACCTTTGCAGGGAAGCTGGAAGTGGCTTGAAAAAGCTGGCTTAAAATGCAAGACTCAAAAAACTAAGATCATGGCATCCAGTCCCATCACTTCATGGCAAACAGATGGGGAAAAATGGAAACAGTGACAGATTTCATTTTTCTTGGGCTCCAAAATCACTGCAGATGGTGACTGCAGCCATGAAATTAAAAGACACTTGCTCCTTGGAAGAAAAGCTATGACAAACCTAGACAGTGTACTCAAGAGCAGAGACATCACTTTGCCAACAAAAGTCCATATAGTCAAAGCTATGGTTTTTCCAGTAGTCATGTGCAGATGTGAGAACTGGACCATAAAGAAGGCTTAGTGCCGAGAAATTAATGCTTTCAAACTGTGGTGCTGAAGAAGACTCCTGAGAGTCCCTTGGACTGCAAGGAGATCAAACCAGAGCATCCTAAAGGAAGTCAACCCTGAATATTCATTGGAAGGACTGATGCTGAAGCTGAAGCTCCAATACTTTGGCCACCTGATGCGAAGAGCCAAGTCATTGAAAAGACCCTGATTCTGGGACAGATTGAGGGCCGGAGGAGAAGGGGGCAGCAGAGGATGAGATGGTTGGATGGCATCACCGACTCAATGGACAAGAGTTTGAGGAAATTCCAAGAGATAGTGAAGCCCAGGGAGACCTGGCGTGCTGCAGTCCATGGGGTCTCAAAGAGTCAGACATGATGGAGAGGCTGAACAACAACTGGAGGTGGCCACCAGATGCCATTGGGCCCCACCATTGAGGAGCTCATAATCTGAAGGCTGAAAGCTGTAAATATGTAGACAAAACACAGTGTGGACTCACGGTATCACACTCCAGCAGGTGCTTCCGGCCAGCATGGTCACCACTGCCCCGCTATGGGACACTGATGGTGAAAGGCAGCCACCCACAGGAGGGACGGGAGTTCCGCTTTGTACAAGGTTCTGCTGCACTTCACATCAACACACACTTGTGGGGCAAAGATGCAGAAGATGTAAACACTGTAGAAAACACTTCAAGCTGCCTGGACTGACCTAGTGCTAAATGCCTTTTCAAAACATGTTATTGGAAAAATGTCAAGTGCACAGAAAAGTCAAGAGAAGAGTTTAATGAACACTTTAAGCCTATCACCTGACTCTGACAAGTGTTCCACGTGGCTTTATCTGTGTTTTGCTGATGTAGTTTAAGTTATAGACATCATGGCACTTTTACCTCTAGATATCTCATTGGGAGTGTCTGAAAAATAAGGGCATTTTCCTACCTAACTACACATGTCATTATAGCACCAGACACATCGAACAATAATTCTTGAATATGATCTAATATCCATTTCATATTCAAATGTCCCCAGTTGTCTCCAGAATACCTTCTATTGCTCGTTTGTTCAAGTAGGAGTCCAAGTATGAGAAGTAGGTCCCGTTCTCCAGGACCCAGCTATTTGCTGGGTTACAACTGGGTTTCTGTCCCCATGGGTGACACCCGGACTTCCCAGGGCCCCACCGTCTCTGCTGGCGTGGAGCCCTGGAGCAGAGGCATGGGGCAGAGCTGGAGCCCGGGGTAGGGACGTGAGGGGTGGCGGGATGGGTGTGAGCAGCAATGCACAGCCTGGGCCTCGTGTCCGCATTCTCAGCAGCACCCTTCCCTTGCAGCCATGACTTCATTGGGGAGTTCACCACCAGCTACCGGGAGCTGGCCCGCGGGCAGAGCCAGTTCAACATCTATGAGGTGAGGTGGGCTTTGCTCTGACGATATGTAGCTCCCACAGTCTCTGAGGCCCACAGGGAGCCCTGGCTGGGGTCTTTGCCTCTTCTCCTGTGAGGTGGGTGTTATTGTCCTATTTCACAGTTCAAGAGACTGAATCTCCGAAAAGTGAGGGGACTTGACCCAAGTCCAGAAAGTGGCAGAAGAGGCCAACGATCTAAGTTTATCTGACTCCAGATCATTCAGTTATATTCCACACCCTCAGCCCCAAAGCGGAGAAGGCAACGGCACCCCACTCCAGCACTCTTACCTGGAAAATCCCATGGACAGAGCAGCCTTGTAGGCTGCAGTCCATGAGGTCGCTAAGAGTCGGACACGACTGAGCGGCTTCACTTTCACTTTTCCCTTTCATGTGCTGGAGGAGGAAATGGCAACCCACTCCAGTATTCTTGCCTGGAGAATCCCAGGGACGGGGGAGCCTGGTGGGCTGCCATCTATGGGGTCGCACAGAGTCGGACACGACTGGAGTGACTTAGCAGCAGCAGCAGCAGCCCCGAAGAGAGCCCTTCCAACCAGGCAAGGGGATAGAAGTGCAGGTGGGGCAGGAGGTAGAGCACGGTATCAGCAGGTTCCTGGCTCCAGATCTGAGGTCCTGAGTCCTCCCTTTCATCAGAGCAGTTGCAGGGCCTGCAGAATGTCTTCCCTGTCCTAGAAGGAAAGAGAGGGACAGGAGCCAGGGCGCCTCCATCTAGACTGGGGAACCTTGGACAAGACGCCCAGTCTCTTGGCAGATAAGAACGTCTGCCCTCAGGACAGTCTGCACTGAGCCTCTGCCTGTGTGAGCTCTTCTGTCGGGATATGCTCCCAACCTCACAGATCCAGTCCAGGCCCTGCTCCTCTGATGGCCTGTTTGCTGGCACAGAAGTGAGGCGACTCCATGGACGGCATAGTTCTTGCCAGACCCACTGAACTGCAGATGCTTGTAACCCTAGCTTACGGCCCAGGGTTCCTATCCCAGCTCTGCCATGTATAAGCTGGGTGACCCTGGTTGAGTTCCTGCCCCCCTCTGCCATGCACACTGAGAATTAAATTACTAGAACCACGCCTGGCCCCTGGTGAGCATTACGTCAGTGCTATCTCCTAGTATCATCTGTCGAGCGCCTGGGTGCCAGGAGATTTACATTTCACAACCGTCCTACGAGCTGGCCCTGTCCTCACATCACTCAGCGAGTGAAGTCGCAGAGCTGGCTTTGACTCCCATCCCCGAATCTGAGTCCCTCCTTGCGTTACTCCCTCAACCTGTATCTCTGTCCCTAGTGGACAGGTCTTGTGTTCCAGCTGGACCGAAGCGCCCCAAGGACAGACTAAGTGATAGCCCTTTCTGTTGCCCTATTCACATTGGCCTGGGTCCTCCTAGGCACACAGTAGGTGCTTATTATACTCCCGCACTGAATGCAACAAGGCTATTTGTGAGAATGGAACGTGGATGAATTGCTTTGTGAGAGCTCTGACACTCGCAGTTAATTGCTTTGTTTTCTGCAAGGACAAAGGACGGAGCTGTCTCTCTTCTCTCGCCCACACAGCAGCCTCCGTGGACTCTCTGGACTCTCTCCTTTTTTAATTTATTTATTTTTGGCCCTGCTGGGTCTTTGTTGCTGTGTGGGCTTCTATCTAGTTGTGGCGAGCGGGGGCTCCTCTCTAGTTGTGGTGCACTGGCTTCTCAGCACGTGGGCTCTGGAGCACAGTTATGACGCAGGAGTTTAATTGCTCTGCGGCTTGTGGGGTCTTCCTGGATCATGGATCGAACCCATGTCTCCTGCATTGGCAGCCAGATTCTTTACCCCTGAGCCACCAGGGAAGCCCTTCTCCAGACTCTTATTTACTCATTTTTTTGGCCATACCACATGGCACGTGGGATCTCAGTTTCCCAACTAGGGATTAAACCCCCCCCCTGCATTGGAAAGGAAGTACAGAATCAACCACTGGACCACCAGGGAAGTCCCTAGAGTCTTCTAAGAAAATTTTTAGGGAAGGGAAGGGGAGGGGTCAGATCTCTTGGAGTCTGACCTTCTAAGGGTGCTTGACAGGCCCAGATGAGGCCATGATCTCTCAGGCTTAAAGCAGGAAAGGTTAGATCGACTTGTTTTCTCTGTCATTGAGCCCCTGCTCCCTTGAGAACAGTGAGAGAAACTGCAGCGCTGGCAAACCAAAGTGCTGTCTGCACATGTTGGAAACGCCGTCAGGTAGAAAAGGAATTAGATTCTGGCTGCTGAGGGGCAGGCCTGGCACTGTGGAGGGTATCTCTGGGAGGCCGGTTTGGGCTCAGGAAGGCCTTTCTAGTGTCTGAAGTGCCTGAAGAGAGGATAGGCTTCTGCCAGGAAAGACCCTCATCTCAGGCCCTGGCGTCAGCCTGGGTGTCCACCGCACATGCCCAGCTGTCTCTGGCCGCTCCTCAGACTCAGCCTCCTAAACTGAATGCGCTGGCCAAAGTCCCTGCCACCCGCCTCTCCTCGGGCCAGCCGGTTCTCCCGCCTGTGCCATCATCACAGGGACCACGGCCCTTGGGGAGCCATCCCTGATGCCTCCCGCCCCGCATCCCACACCCAGTCCATGATTGAATCCTGCTTCTCCTGCCACCTGAATATTCTGAGGTTTGTCCCCTTCCTTCCTGTCCACCCCCACCGTCACCATCTCCCCTGGGGGGGGTGGGGGGCTTTGCGCCAGCCCCCTCTTGGCCTTTCCGCTTTGACTCAGTAACCCAAAGGTGCCTACAAAATGGTAATTGACCACGTTGCTGCCCTGCTTACTACCTGGCTATTTACTTCACCCGCTGTCTCAGCCTGGTTCACCCAGGGGAGCGGGGGAACCCTCCATCCCAACTGATGTCCAACAGGGCCCTTTACCTGCAAGGTAAGGCCGAGCTCCTTCACACAAGCGTCATGCCCCGCGACTTGCAGACTCTGTGCAGCTGAGCGGGGGGGCATGTATGAGCGGCCGTATACACCACGGCTCTAGGAGCCCCCCGGGGTCCGGCCCGCTCCCCGTCCCTCTGCCCACCCTCGTTTTCTGCCCCATTATGCCACCTGAGGCTCTCTGCACCTCCACACTGGCTCAGGCCCTGCGGCTCCATTTGTGCTGGTGCCTCTGCGCGGGCTCCCTTTGCTCTTCTTCACCTGGTTGGGTCTCTACTGGGCCTCAGAGACGGCCTGTGATGCTCCTCCCGCAGGAAGGCCCTCCCTGCACACCCACCAAGTCTGAAGAGGGTGCTCCTGTTCCCTCCTCCCCCACTAAAAACAGGCCTGTTACCTGTTTATCATACTAAGTGCGTGTGTGTATGCTAAGCTGCTTCAGTCGTGTCTGACTCTTTGCGACCCCATGGACGGTAGCTCACGAGGCTCTTCTGTCCATGGGATTCTCCAGGCAAGAATACTGGAGTAGGCTGCCATTTCCTGCTCCAGGGGAATCTTCCTGACCCAGGGATTGAACCCACATCTCTTAGGTCTTCTGCACTGGCAGGCAGGTTCTTTACACTAGCGCTACCTGGGAACACCTAATCATACTTCCTACCTCCCCGCACCCTTCCCGGCCTCACCAAGACCATGACATCCTCAGGGGTGGGGGCGATGTCTCACTCACCGTTGTATCCAGAGCTTGCATAGCTCCTGGTCCTGGGAGCCACTCAGTGCCCCCTTTGCACAAGAGGGCAGACCCCATACCAGCCCTGGGGACCCTGGAGACGCTGGGGATGTGAGGAGAGGGAGAGGAGAAGGCTTCGAGCTCCAGCCCAGGAGTGGGGAGGTTTCTGGCCCCTAGGGGGTGCTGGTCCCCTGCAGGGCGTTTGGGTGCAGCCGCTTAGGGCTGGAGAGGCTGGTACACAGGGAGGCGGGGAGGGGCTGTGCATGCCCAGTGGTGCTGGAAACCCCAGAACAAACAGGATGTTTTCTCAGTGCCCACTTCACAGGAAGATCTGAGAACAAAACAGTGCTTTAATATTAAAACAGTTATAATTAGAGAGTGCAAATGTGGAATACAGGCTAATTTAAAGATAACAGAGATGACTTCAAAGACATGTGCTTGTGGCCAGGTCTTTTGGCGACGCCCAGACCCCCAGGAGTCCATGTTCATTCCCCTCTGGTGGGAGAGCTGCTCTGGAGTAGACGTTTGAGATGCGGTAAATTCTAGAAGCCCCACAGCCTCATGGGACAGACTGGGAGACCCAGGCACAGTGTAGTCTTGGGGCTGCGACGTGCCCCCGTCTCAGCAGCCTGCTTGGTGACTGTTGTCCTCCGAATACGTCAGGCAGCACCAGATCCTCTGCGTGGCCTCCAGGCCTGTGGCGGTTCTGAGGCTGTTTGGGTTTCTCCCCCGAGACTTCTCTCCCCCGTTTCCACCTGCTCGGCTGGCCAGACCTCCCACCTGAAGGTCCCACCTGTGCCTAAACTCCAGCTCTTTCTTCCTTCTGTGTCTCCCTAGTCACCCTTGACTTCCTCCTTCTCTTCTGCCCCAGGGCCACACCCAGCCCCCGACTGCTCAGAAACGCTCCTTCTTACCTGGTAACTGGGTTTGGTTTTGTTTTGTTTTTTTTTCTCGACAGGTGGTAAACCCAAAAAAGAAAATGAAGAAAAAGAAATATGTGAATTCGGGCACAGTGAGTAGCCACCCCCTCTCTGATGCGGATGTAGACTTCCTGAGCCCTGAGCTAGGTCTGGTGGCCAGAGTCACGTGTGTCTGTTTGCTTTACTGCAGGGCGTGGGAACCAGACCTGGGGGCTGGGGGTGGGGAGGGGTGGGGCTGACAGAGCAATGGGGGTCGGGGGGACGGGTCCTGTTATACAGGATGAAAAATCCCAGACAGAAACTCCCGTGGGGGGCTCTTCCTGCAGGAAGGAAAAGGACTTGAATTTATTGGGCTCTTACTCTGGGAAATTCCCTGTTGGGGTGCTTTTCACAGGTTGTTTCCTTAAGAGGCAGGCATTATCATCCCCTCGTCACAAGAGCGGAAACCAAGGCCGCAGGCAGGGAAGTGACTCAGCCAAGGTCACAGAGCTGGAAGGTGGTAGGCATGGCAGTGAGCACAACAATTAAATCTGCAGCCTGCAGCTGCTGTGGACACGGCCCCTCCTTAGCTGAGACCATCCTGGGATCACACTGGCCCAGCAGCTTCTGGGGGCTGATCTTCAGGACATTCCTGCATTTTTTCAACAAATATTTACTGTGTGCTCCCACGTGCCAGCCACTGATTGGGGCATGAGGGAATAAGACTGATGCAAACCCCTGCCCACCTGGTGCTTATTGTCTAGTTGTGGGATGGGGGACAGAAAACAAATGCACCCACAAGTACCTGTGTGTGTCAAGTGGTTGGGAGTGCTGTGGGAAAAAGTATAGTGAAGTGTGGAATCTAGAAAAATGATGTAGATGACCTTATTTGCGAAGCAGAAATAGAGACACAGAGGTAGAAAACAAACGGATACCAAGGGGGAAGGGGTGGGTGGGATGAATTGGAAGATTGGGATTTACATATAAAATACATACACTGTTGATACTATGCATAAAATAGATAACTAATGAGAACCGACTATATAGCACAGGTCAGTGTTCTATGGTAACCTAAATGGGAAGGAAAGCTGAAGAAGAGGGGATACGTGTAAACATACAGCTGGTTCACTTTGCTCTATAGGAAAAACTAACACAACGTTGAAAAACAACCATGCTCCAATAAAAATTAATTTAAAAGGTATAGTGAGATAATTCAATAGAGAATGCAAGGGCCTAAACTTGCTATTTTGTATCAAATAGTCAAGGAAATTTCCTCTGAGAAGATTTAAGCAGACATTTAAGCAAGGTGAAGGAGTTAAGGATATCAAGGGAAAAGAGTTCTAGCTGTAGGGATTAGCATGTGCAAAGGCCCTGAGGTAGAGCCCACCAATGCATTTATAGAGCAAACCAATGTCTTAGCAGTGCAAACATACCCAAGTCTGTACCCTTCATTTGTTCCTCCCACTCTAGAGAGCAACCGCCCCATCAGCGAATACAGCCAAATACAGCCATTTGAGTCAGACCATTGGTAACTCCAGACCAGACGAGGTCACAGACAGGGGCCCCCAGGATTCCTCCAAGGAACCTTATTTTCTCCATCTGTAAAATGGGTCTAATACACCATCCCTACCTTGTTGAAGGCACAGGGTGGCTGTGGCAGACATGGGAGATGCAGGACTATAAACTGGACTCTGCTGACCACCGCTTCTCTGATTATAACTGCTTCACGTGCAGGCTTGGAGTAATATTTCCTTTGTCCAAAGGTGCAGGGTTTCTCAGTGGGAATGTTGTCAGCATTTGGGGCAGAATAATTCTTTGTCTTACAAGACATCCCTGTATGTGGTGGGATGCTTAGCCTCCCTGGTCTGAGCTCATAGCTAGCAGTAGAACCCCAGTCATTGTGAGACTCCAGAGCTCTCCCTCATGTTCCCAAATGCCCCTTGAGAGGGCAGCACCTTCCCCAGCTAAGAAATATTCAATGTACAGCTAAAAAAAAAAAAAAAAAAAGGTATGAAACCCACTGATCTCATCCAGCTTTCTTGCTTTAGCAACAAAGAAACAGACCCAAAGAGGGGACATGATTTGTCTCAGGTCACACAGTGAGTTAGGGAAGGGGCAGGACTAGGCCCAGTTCTCCTGGCTTACCTTTGATCCAGCATTTCCAAATCTTTACCATTAAAAAAAAAAAATCACTCAGGGTTCAGGATCCCTATTAATATACAGATGCCCAGGCCAGTTCCCTAGGGTTCTATTTTAGAAAACCCAGGCTGGGAGCCCAGGAATCTATATTTAGTGCTTCTCATTCCTTACTTGCTATGTGCAGGATTTCCTGGGGATCTTGCTGAAATGCCAAGAGTCTGCATTTCTACCCAGCCTCAGTGGGATGCTGATGCTGCTGTTCTGAGTACCAAGTCCCTGGGTCAATCCACATGACCTGCCAGGCTCAGCAATTAACTGCTTCATCCCAGGGCCTGAAGTGGAATTCAACCCTGACTGCATGTTAAACTCAAGTGAGGAGCTAAAAATAAACCAGGGCCGTATCCCTACTCCAGAAACCCTGATGATATTGGTTTGGCGTCTTCAGTCCAGCCGCAAGATGTTTTAAAAGCTCCCCCTGGAGTCTAATGATCATAGAGGAGAGGCCACTGCCACAGTCCACTCCTAGAGACTGGGGAGGCTTTGTCCATCCACAGCGAATGGGGGTCTCCAAGGTCCCACTCAGTACTCACAGACTCTCTGTTATTTGGGCTAATGGCTCACCCTCTTGGTCAAGGGGAAGCTCTACCTGGTCTCCCCACCGAGCTGATAAAGATGACTGAATCTGTACCAGTAGGGGGCGCTACAAATCCTAGAGTGGAATTCTCTGACACTAGTAAATTGTCCCCCGCTCCATTCTTGCCTCATTTAATTGACTTTGCCAAGATTGAAGGCAGAAGGAGAAGGGGACGACAGAGGATGAGATGGTTGGATGGCATTACCAACTCGATGGACATGAGTTTGAGCAAGCTCTGGGAGTTGTTGATGGACAGGGAAGCCTGGCGTGCTGCAGTCCATGGGGTTGCAAAGAATCAGACACGACTGAGCGATTGAACTGAACTGCCAAGCTTTCATTTGTCTCCACGATCCTAAATCATTATCATAACCCACTGCCAGGTAGTTGCCTGTCTTGGGAAAGCTGATGCCAAAGCTGCCAGGGGCATAGGTCAAGCAGCATCTGCTTAGGCAACGGGGCCTCAGGTGCTCAGTCACCTCCAGGAAAAGGACAGGCTGCTTGGGAGGGGCTTGGGTCTGAGAGGGTAGAGATCAGGCGATGCGAGAGGGATGAGGTGGGACAAGTAAGGTTTAAAACAAGTGCAAACCAAAGAAGCATATTTCGAGATTAATGCATGTGGGTGTGCTCAGTCCTGTCCAACTCTTTGCGACCTCATGGACTGTAGCCCACCAGGCTCTTCTGTCCGTGGAATTTTCCAAACAAGAACACTGGAGTGGGTTGCCATTGCCTACTCCAGGGGGTCTTCCCGACCCAGGGATCAAACATTGGCAGGCGGATTCTTTACCACTGAGACAACGGGGAAGCCCTTCAGGATTAATAGGTAGTGGATTAATATGGAAGCATGAAGCTTGTCGGCACTGACAGATCTTAGGCCTGTGTCAGGAGGACCCCCCTCTCTCTCCGCACCCGTGTCTACTTACAGAAAACTCAGTTCCTTGGCTTGAGCCGCTGTACTCCAGTGACAGAGACAGGGCCCCTCCAGGATGCAGTTTGGCATCAAGGTCAAGAGCACAGGGTCTGGGGCCAGACAGATCTGAGTTCCCATCTTACTTGGTCACATCCTGGCAGTGTCCTTGGACACACTGCTTCACTTCTTTGAGCCTCAGTTTCCTGGGCCGGAGAATGGAGATAATAGTAGTACTTTTAGAGTTGTCGTGGGCACAGTTTGCAATGATGTGGGCAAACCTGGCACATGCTGGGGGCTCCATCACCATCAGCAAAGCTCCCCGCACCCCCTCCCTGCTCAGTGCTCCCCGCTGACCAAGCTTCTTTTTGTTTTTAAGGTCACGCTGCTTTCCTTTGCTGTGGAGTCAGAGTGCACATTTCTCGACTACATCAAAGGAGGGTGAGAAGAGATGCAGCCTGGTTTCTTTGGCCTCGGGGGGAGGGAAGGGGCCCCCACACAAGGACCTGAGCCGAGCTGACCCCACCTGGCCTTTCTGAGGCCCTGGCCATAGCCTGGGAAACTGGGCTCCGAGCAGACCTCCCGTGTCTGGGCGCAGACGACGACCCCAGAGCCCTGCAGGGCCCTGAAGTGGCTGCAGAGGGCGCTCCTGAGCACGGAGGCCCGCTTGGGTCGTGGGAGGTCTCTGTGCGGAGAGGGGAGCTGCAGGTGGTAGGGACGCCGTGAGCCCCCATGACAAAGGGCTTAGGGAGGTGGAAAAGCCCTGATCTAGGTGTCAGGAGGCCCAGGCCCTAGGCCCCTCTTTGCTGTGAACTGGCTGGGTTACTTTGGGCACATCACTTTCCCTCCCTGGGCATCCATCTCCCCCGCTAGCACAGAGTGGTTGGAATTAAGTGAATTCTAAGATTCCTTCCCGCTCTGAGCTTCTGATACCTCTGGTCTGTCTGGGAGGCGGTGATTAACCTGCCCACTGTCACTGGGGACCTACCAGGGACAGGAGAAACTGGGACAGAGGCCAGGGGATGGTCCAACACAAGTTTAAGGAACAGAGAGACCCGGAGGGGTTGGCCTCCGGGCCAAGGCAAGCAGAGAAACCTGGAGACTCCAGCCAAACAGCTCATGAGGAGAGAGCCTGACGGTGCAATGAGGTCCTGCCCAGCACGCTCCCTGCCAGGACAGGTGCCAGGGCAGGGGTGTGGGTAGCCGAGAGCCCACAGGTGCAGGCAGGTGAGTGACTACACCTGTCTGGAAAGGAGACAGGCGGGGCCGTTGCCAAAGGTTCATCCCAGCCAAGCAGGCGCTCGGCCGCCTGGTTCTCAGGGCAGAGGGAGGAGTCAGGCCCTGGGAAGCCACACTTACTCTCCCATGACGTGCCTCCCTGCTGCCTTGAGCCTGCAGCCCACAGGCTTGCAGCTCTCCTTGTCCCCGCTGAGCACACGCCCTTCCCGCAGCCCCCCAGAGGCCTCCCCGTCCCTCCCCCACGGCAGCTCCAGCCCCTGCCCTTGCTCCTTCCCCCATCCAAACTGCTCTGCACTCTATCCTATTAAAAAACCACCCCCGATATCCCATGGTAATTTTCAAGCAACCCTCATCCTGTTTATCCTTCCCATTTGCATGCATGCACGCTAAGTCGCTTCAGTTGTCCCCGACTCTCTGCAACCCTATGGACTGTAGCCCGCCAGGCTCCTCTGTCTGTGGGCATCGTGCCCCCAATTTGCAGGACACAGGGGGCTAGGGAAGATGATAATCTACATTTTACACAAGATGTCCCAGGCCACACTGCTTAAGTCAGTGGCAGGGTTCATCCCATCCCCACACATTGCATTTCTTCCATAGTAATTAATCCGCTGAGCTTCCCCCTTGTAGCTCAGTTGGTAAAGAATCTGCTTGCAATGCAGGAGACCTGGGTTCGATTCCTGGGTTGGGAAGATCCCCTGGAGAAGGAAATGGCAATCCACTCCAGTATCCTTCCCATGGACAATCCCATGGACAGAGGAGCCTGGCAGACTACAGTCCATGGAGTCGCACAGAGTCAGGCACGACTGAGCGACTAAACTACCACCACCAGTGAATCCACCTCATAGCTACCAGGTGGGATGTGAGAGAGATGGATGGGTCCAAGGGCTGGGTGCTGTGAGGTCCCATCATCTTGCTGAGAGGGCGCTCACAGAGCCAAGCCCTGGCCCTCCTCTCCTCTCTTCACACTCTGGAGAGCCTAGGTGAGGAAGCAGGCTCTAGGGAGCGAGAGGCCGGTGCGCGTGTCCAGGCAGGCAGGCAGCTGATGGAGGTGTTTGTCCAGGGATTCTCTCCTCCCTCACCCATCTGGACCAGGAGGAAGGCTCTGGGCGCCTCTGTCCCCATATCGGAGTCAGAGATGGAGCTGGTTGCTAAGCAGCCTGTTCTTGCCCTTAGGCAGGAGAGGCGAGCCTGCAGGGAGTCACTTTTCCACAAAAGTACCTGCTTTTCAGTCCCTTCCTTCCCTGAGCCATTTCAGAACCCAGAGCAGGCAAGACCACTTAAGGAGTGAAAAGGCCTGCCTCTCCCCTCACCCCCCTCCTTTTTTTTAAATGGGGACCATTTTATAAAGTCTTTATTGAATTTGTTACAACATTCAGTTCAGTTCAATCGCTCAGTCATGTCTGAGTCTTTGCGACCCCATGGACTGCAGCACACCAGGCTTCCCTGTCCATCATCAACTCCCGGAGCTTACTCAACTCATGTCTATCAAGTCAGTGATGCCATCCACCAACCATCTCATCCTCGGTCGTCCCCTTCTCCTCCTGCCTTCAGTCTTTCCCAGCATCAGGGTCTTTTCCAGTGAGTCAGTTCTTTGCATGAGGTGGCCAAAGTTTTGGAGTTTCAGCATCAGCATCAGTCTTTGCAATGAACACCTAAGACTGATTCCTTTAGGATGGACTGGTTGGATCTCCTTGCAGTCCAAGGGACTCTCAAGAGTTACAACAATGCTTGTTTTATATTTTGTTTTTTTTGGCCACGAGGCATGTGGGATCTTAGCATCCCAACCAGGCTTTGAACTCTCACCCCCTGCATTGGAAGGTGCAGTCTTAACTACTGGACCACCAGGGAAGTCCCTCCTCTCATCCTTTATTTGGAAGAACCAGGCTGACAGGGTCCCTCAGCTGTAGTCCTACAGGCCAGAACCACCTCTTGCCACCTTGCGGCTCCTTCTCCCTCAGAGCTTGGAGTCTACTGAATGCTCAGGCCGAGGGCAGCAGACAAGGGGGAAGGCGTGTGGGGAGGACTATCTCTAGCCAGCAGACCCTGGGTGGGGTCTCCTGCTCACCATGTCCTTCCCCCTTCCCGGAGATGGAAGGTTCCCTGAGCAGCAGCTCAGCTGATCAAGCGGAGCGGGGGCCGTGGTTTCTGATGGGGACTGCCTGCTCAGTGCAGGTGAGGTGAGCCCTGCATGCGTGCTAAGTCACTTCAGTCATGTGGACTCTTTGTGACCCCATGGACTGTAGCCCGCCAGGCTCCTCTGGCCATGGGATTCTCCAAGCAGGAATACTGGAGTGGGCTGCCATGCCCTCCTCCAGGGGGTCTTCCTGACCCAGCGAGCGAACCCGGGTCTCTTATGTCTCCTGCATTGGCAGGCGGGTTCTTTACCACTAGTGCCACCTGGGAAGCCCCAGGTGAACCTCACCGTATGTCATCCATGGTCACAACTCAGAATAGAGTTTTCCCGGGTGTGATCCTAGAGTCCCCTCCTCAGAATCGCTGCTTGAAGGCAGGGGATGTGTGTTGATTCTGGGGCCCCACCGCAGACCAACTCCCTCCCTGGGAGGAGGCCCTGGGACAGTCTCTGTAAACAAGCTCCCCTGGTGACGCTCCACTCACTGCGTGAGAATCACAAGACTAGACTTTATCAGGGATTCGTGTCTTGTCAGCATCTGGCACAGAACCTAGAACAGCCAAACCCTCAGAAAGTTTTAACCCTGAATATGAATCCTCAAAACCTAATTTTTTTTTTATTACGGAAAAATTCCAAACACAGGCAAAAGTGGAGAGACAGTGTGATAAGCCCGCAAGTACCCTCCATCCAGATTCACCAGTTACCAGCTCACAGCTGCTCGTGTCCCACACACTCACCATTCCACCCGATTATTTTGAAGCAAATCCAGACATCATGTCTCATCCCCCTAATTACTTCGGGATGTGTCTCTAAAACAGAAAAGGACTCTCTCTTTGTAAAATATGACCACAATACCAAAATCACACCTAAAAACCGAGTCGTTCCTTAATGCCAACTGTCTAGTCAGTATTCAGATTTCTCCAGTTGTCTTGCAATGTGTTTGAACTGGCTTCTCTGAATGCAAAATCAAGGCAAGGTCCATATATTACGATTGGTTGGTTTGTCTCATAATTTTCTTCTGTGTTTTGGTCACGCTGCTCCTTGTGGGATCTTCATTCCCCAACCAGGGGTTAAACCGGGGAGCCCTCAGCAGAGAAGGTGCCCAGTTCTAACCACTGGACCACCAGGGAATTCCTCATTATCTATCTTTTCGCCTAGTGGTTCCCCCAAGTGCCTGAAGGGCTTGCTAAAACAAATTCCTGCGCCTCACCAGGGGATTCTGGTTTAGTAGGTCCACTGGGGGGCCTGAGACTCCTCACAGATTTCCCACGTGATCCTGATGCTGCTGGCCCAGGGGGGATCTTCCAGTAATGCTCCTACAGAATTTCCCACAGGCTCCCCCTGTACCCCCACAGTGTCACTTAACATACTCCTCTGTCCCCCATGTTTCCTGTAAACCACTGGTACATAGTTCTGGAAGCTCAGCTGGACTCCAGTTCCATTTTTTTGGCAAGACAGCTTCATGGGTGGTGTTTTGTTCTTCCCTAAGGAGATGCACAGTGCCTGTTTATCTTTTTTTTTTTTTTTGCCAAGTTAAACAGTAAGGCTAAATCAGCTTTAACCCTGAATCTGACTCCAAATTTGAGCCAGGAATACAGGGAGACCCTACTTCACTGGCCTCCAGTGGACCCAAGGGCAGGGTTTGGAGAGGAAATACGTAATTGTAGCTATGTGCCCAGCAGAACGTAAACATCTTTGGAGAGCTGTCCCTCTGCTTCATTCTTCTGATGCTCACAGCAGTCCTTTGGGGGAGGGTGGGGCTGACGCTACTCTTCCAGTTTTCCCGGAGGAGACAAATGCTTCAACCAGGCTGCATACATGGCCTGCAGCAGGGCTGGGCGGAAGCCGGGTTCCTCTCTCCAGTCCAGTACACTTGACCCTCCCCAAAGCCCCGCCTTTGGCCAGCTAACTTCCCTGTTGTCCTCCTTATAGGACCCAGATCAATTTCACAGTGGCCATTGATTTCACAGCCTCCAATGGTGAGTAGGGGGCATGAGCCGAGGGGCTGGATGAGGACTGGGGGCCCGGAAAGGGGAGGGCTTTTCAGGACTGTGGTAGTTGTCCCTAGCTGGACGCCAGGTCTTCCGTACTCTCTGGCCTCATCCTCCCAAAGAGGAGGAACTTGGGCCTGGAGAACCAAAGATACAGCCAAGGTGGCAAAGGTATTCCCTGATTGGTTCGTGGTCACTCACAAAGCTGGGCTCTGGGCCTCCATACCCTGAGCCACAGCCTTGCTCTTGAGGACACCCAGTCTCCCTGAGGGACTGGGAGAGCGACGCTGTGGGGAGCCCTGGAGCAGAGGTCTTTCCTCACAGGATCAAACTGCACAGCCCCTGTGCAGTCCAGGGCTCCCCAGGTGGCACTAGTGATAAAGAACCCGCTTGCCAGTGCAGGAGATGTAAGAGACGCAGGTTCGATTCCTGGGTTGAGAAGATTCCCTGGAGGAGGGCATGGCAACCCCCTCCAAGTATTCTTGCCTGGAGAATCCCATGGACAGAGGAGCCTGGCGGACTACAGTCCATGGGGTCGGGCAAAGCGTCGGACACGACTGAAGCGACCGGACATGAGCAGGAGCACCGTGTGCAGAGAGGCGGAGGCAGGACTGAGCCTGCGGTCCGCAGGGAGGCAGGGACAGCTGGGAGCGCCAGTCCTCACCTTCGCTCGGGCTGCCCCAGCTTCCTTCCTTCTCTGGCCTTCTCCAGGGTGACCAGGTGGCTGGGAGCGATCAGTGCCTAACTTGACACTGTTAGAGCCGTGACAGCCTTCCTTGGATTCTGGACCCGCATTAAGCCCTGCTCAATCAGAAGTTCCTCGGGTCTGGCAGTCCAGAGGCGTGTCAGAAACCTCTCTCTGCAGGCCCTACCATGGCAGAGTGCTGAGATGTCAGAGCTGGGGGGCAGCCAGCAGGTGCGGTGCTTAGTATTCATAACAATGAGGAGAGTTAGAGTAACATCTGTTTAATCCTCACAGTGGTCCAGTGAGGTGGGGACTGTTATCAGTACAGTATAGTGTTAGTCGATCAGCTGTGTCTGACTCTTTGCGATCCCATGGACCGTAGCTCGCCAGGCTCCTCTGTCCACGGGATTCTCCAAGCAAGATTACTAGAGTGGGTTGCCATTCCCTTCTCCAGGGGATCTTCTCGACCTAGGGATTGAACCCAGGTCTCCTGCATTCCAGGCAGATTCTTTACATCTGAGCCACCAGGGAAGCCTGGGGACTATTATTACCCCCATTCTACTGCTGGGGAGACTGAGGCCGAGTGGTTAAGCATTCGAATCCAAGCGACAGCAGCAAGTAGAAAGAGGATTAATACTTGGCAGCCTGTGCTATGCTACTCTCCTTAATAAACAAGAAACTAAAATATGGGCCATATCAGTGGCGACAAGGGCTATGGAGAACCAAGCAGGGAAGAGGGGTGGGGCCTGTAGCTTTCAGCAGGCCCCAGGGAAGACCACAACAGACCGGAAGAGGGAGGGAGCAAGACGTGCGCACATCTGTGGAAGTGTCCCAGAGCGGAGGGAACAGCCTTTGCCAAGGCCCTGGCATGGTAGGGCCTCCCGGGATGGTAGGAGATGCGGAGAGGCATCACTGGAGGCCAGCTCCAGTGGGGCCGTGTGGGCCCTTGAAAGGACTTCAGGTTCAGCTCTGGGTGAAATGGGAACATCGGGGCATTTTGAGCAGAGAAGAGATGTGATTAGGTGAGTTTTGACGTAGATTCAGCCTGGCGGGTGTGCTGAGTGTGGACACAGGGCAGAGACATAGAGATCAGGCTGCTGCAGTCCTACGAGCAAGAGACTAGATACACAGAGGAGGGACTTGGGCTACATTCGGAGGGTTTCGCAGCCATGGTTTGCTCGAGGATTGAATGCTCAGTAAGGGAAGGAAAGGGGTGCCCTTGGACACCCCCTTCTGCATTTCGAGCCTGGTGATTTGGTGTGTCTGGGCCATCGAGTGTCCCTGCTTGTCCCCACTTCGCAGGGAACCCCTCGCAGTCGACATCGCTGCACTACATGAGCCCCTACCAGCTGAACGCCTACGCGCTGGCACTGACCGCAGTCGGGGAGATCATCCAGCACTACGACAGCGACAAGATGTTCCCCGCCCTCGGCTTCGGGGCCAAGCTGCCCCCGGACGGCAGGGTGTCCCACGAGTTCCCGCTGGTAGAAGACCCTGGGAGAAAGGGCTGTGGCCTGGGGTGGGGGGCCTTGCCCATCCTGCCCGCCTGGAGACTTGAGCTGCGGGCTTTGTGGGGGCAGGTTGCCTGCTGGGGCTTGGAGTGGGACTTGTATCGGAGCTCAGATCAGAAACCCACTCCCCACCTTGGTCACAAGCATCTCCCTTGTGAAGCCACCTGCAGTGGGCTCTGCCCTCCTTTTCCCAACAAGACCCTGGTGGAGGTGGAGAGGGGTCGTGGCTGAACTATTCCCCAAGACCTCAGAAATGAGGATAAAAAGGGTGTGCATTGGATTTGAACAACTGCAGGTAATTCTAGGATGGAAGGATGTGTCTGATCAGATACAGGAGTAGGACAAGGAGCCGGTCTGGACACTGCTCACCCGGAGCGCGTGCTGCCCTTCATGGTGGGCCTGGGGGCTCTCTCCCCAGCCCCCACCCCCGAGTCCCCACCAGAGAGAAGTCTAGGAGGGCCCAGGCCTGCAGGCCTCCTCCATCCTGGCTCAGCCCCCCGCCCCCTGTGCTCCCAGAACGGCAACCAGGAGAACCCCTCGTGTTGTGGCATCGATGGCATCCTGGAGGCCTACCACCACAGCCTGCGCACGGTGCAGCTCTACGGCCCCACCAACTTCGCCCCCGTGGTCACGCACGTGGCCAGGTGAGCCCGGGTCACTGGACAGCCCTCCCTGCCGCTCGCAAGGGGTTTCCTTCCGTCCCCGTGCTCTCAGGAAGGCGGGAGGGCACGTCTCTTCCCACGGATTTACTTTTGGGGGCGCCCTGACCCTAAAAGGGCCCCCCCCACCAAAGAGCTGTCCCACCAGTGTTCAGGGTCCTTTTGGGGGGGACGGCACGCCCAGAGTCCCAGCAGACAGACCGCTTCCCCCCGCCCTGCCCCAGGAACGCGGCCGCAGTGCAGGACGGCTCCCAGTACTCAGTGCTGCTCATCATCACAGATGGGGTCATCTCGGACATGGCGCAGACCAAGGAGGCGATCGTCAACGTGAGCGGGGGGTGGGGACAGAGGCTGGGGAAACCTGGGGGTACACCTCCCTGCCCCCTTTAGGGAGACCTGTGGGGCATGCCCTCTCTGGGACCACTCCTGGTTTGTCAATGTAGAGCCTGGACGGCCAACAGCAGGGTTTGGGGGGTGGAGGGGGTTCCGGCTGATGAAGGATCTGACTGGCGAACTCTGCACCCACCTCTTCATCACACTGGGTGGTCCGCTCCCGCCAGACTCCTATGGCTCTCTCGTTAACCCACCTCTGGGGCTGCTGCCCCAGACCCCAGCCCGGCTTGGCCAGGTAGAAGGCCTGGGAACATGGAACCCTGCACGGGGTGGTCTCCCTGCACAGGGGCTCCGGCCACAGCTGGCCCTCCCTCCGGGCCCACGTAAAAGCTGTCCCACATGATGGAGGTCCAGAGGCAGAGGAGAGGACGGGATGTCTCGCAGAAGCAGACCTGTGACCCGCCTCCCTCTGCCTCCCTTCTCCATCCCGCTTCCTCTCTGGTGTCTCGGTTCCTGTGGTCGGTGTTCTCTTCCCCACCTCCTCCCTCTTTTTTCTGTGCCTCTCTCTGTGTGTCTCCATCCTTCTCTTCTCCTTTTCTTCCCTAACCTCCTCCCTTTCTGCTGTTGGCCCACCCCTTCCCACCCCTCCCCACGATCTCCCCTTCCTTTTAACTGGCCTCTCGGCTGGGCCCCTGCCCCTCCCACCCCTCCTCCACCTCCTGTGTTGTCTCCCACGTTGCCTCCCAGGCCGCCAAACTCCCCATGTCCATCATCATCATCGGCGTGGGCCAGGCAGAGTTCGATGGTGAGTCCCCACCGCCCCCCACGTGTTTCCCCAGAGCCTTCAGGCCCCTGGGAGTGACCCCTCCCAAAGGAGGGAGGACTCACCCCAGTCTGTGCGAGACTGACTGTCTGGGTGAGCAGGCAGGGTGTGAGAGTGCGTTTGTTTGCACAGGGAGGGGTGTGTCAAGGTGCGTACCCCACGCCCACACCCCAAGGCTGTGGGGAGGAGGCCCCAAGTCACTCCTCCAGCCTCCACCCTGGGAGTCTGCGGGGGGCAGGGGAGGGGTGCCCGGGACTGGGCTCCTCCTGTCTCCCGGCTTCAGCTTGCTCATCTCTGACGCGGGGGGCCTGGGCCGGCGGCCTCTGTCCTGCCAGGCTCAGGCGCCCTCCAGTTAGCTTCCCCACCCCTTGTCTTTACCCGCTCCCCCCAACAGCCATGGTGGAGCTAGATGGCGATGATGTGCGGATCTCCTCGCGGGGAAAGCTGGCCGAGCGGGACATTGTCCAGGTGAAGCCCAGACCTTGGCTTTCCCCACAGAAAACACAAGAGCCCCCCTAGCCAGGCTGACCTCCCTCCCCCTTCTGGGGGCTTCTCTGGAAAGGGGCCCTGGAGGAAGGCTTTGGTGCCCTAGAATGGCTTGGCCATCAAAGAAGGAGACAGGAGTCAGTTGTGGGGCTGGACGCCCCCCACCACCATGTCTGAGACTCACCCCTAGTCTGGTGTTACCCCAACTGGAACGCTCACGCCCAGCCCTCCCTGATGCACCAGGCCTGCAGCGTCTCCTGTAGAACACAGAGGCCTAGTTTCTCGCACCTTCTGTTACTTTCTGCCAGGCTGCCTTGCTAAGTGAGATGGCAAACCCCGTGAAGGTGGAGGCGGTGTCTAAAGGGCTGCTGCAGCCCTTTTCAAGAATGAGTGTTGCCTGGTTCACTGAATCAGCGCCAACCTCTCTGTGGATAATGGCAAATGTAACAGCAGACAGGTCTTTTGTCCTCGGGGAATCCCTGTCCAGTCAAGCCTCAGAATGCGCCTCAGTAAGCACACACCCCTCTGTGACTGCTGCAGCCCGAGTCCCTGGTGCTTAGGAGATTCAGAATAAAAAAGTCCCTGACAGTCTCCATACTGCGCCTCCCCCATTAAAAAATTCAGATGGGGGAGGGGTCATTCCAGATGTGGAGACGAACGCTGGGGGGCTAGAAACTGAAGAAGGGCGGTCTGGGAGGTGTGTGCAAAGGCCTGGAGGCAGGAGCGAGCCTGAGGCTCGGGAGTGGCGGTGGGGTGGGGGATGGGGGGCAGACATCTCCTGGGAGGCAGCCATAGGCGTGGAACTGTAGGTGTTGGGCCAGAAAGGGAACCCAAAGAGACAGAGGGCTCTGCTGCAGAGGTGGGAGGAGACCCGCGGGGTCCATTTCCCCGAAACCAGAGGTGTCTGCCAAGTGCCTCAGCTTGGTGCTGAGACTTAATCAGAGATTAAGGAATCTTATTCAGTGGCGTATCCTGGCATGAACAGGTGTTCAAGAAGTTATTTGTTGAGTGAATGAAAGAATAATGACTATGATACAGCCCTTCAGAGAATCACTACGCTGAAGGTTTGAGTCAAGCTGGGCAGAGGCTGAGGAAGGGTGGGACAGGAGCCCAGGCCTGGAGATTTGGGGGATGGGGGCTGGTGTCCAGAGGGAGACCCGGCCTCACCCTGCCTCCCCCTGCTGGACAGTTCGTGCCCTTCAGGGACTACGTGGATCGCACGGGCAACCACGTGCTGAGCATGGCGCGCCTGGCCCGCGACGTGCTGGCCGAGATCCCCGACCAGCTGGTGTCCTACATGAAGGCGCAGGGCATCCGCCCGCGCTCCCCGCCCACGGCCACGGCTCGCTCTCCCCCACAGTCGCCGGCCCGCACACCCCCAGCTTCCCCGCTGCACACGCACATCTGAGCGCGTGGTCTGCTCAGATGGCTGGGGCTTAGGCCAGTAGAAAGGTGGGCGGGGCGCCCAGACCCTGCTGCGGTCCACCCCGCCCAGCCTGTGGAACACGTGTGCCTGGGAGGGGGGCGGGGCTTCTGGAGACTCCTCCCACACTGCCCCACACCCCGAAGTCTGGAGGCACAGGTGATGGAGGTGGGGATCTGGGCCCCTCCTTCTCCTCGTTCACCGACGCCTGGTTCTGGACCAGCCAGGAAGATGTTAATCAGGACCATCGGGGTCCCCCTCAGCCCACCTGGGTAATCTTCCTCTGCTCCTTATCACCCTGAGCCTGGTCTGAACCTCCACCAGGTCGCCTGCTCCTGTGGTGTCTACTCCTATACCAGCCCCCTGACCCCCACCTCAGTATCTATCCTGTCCCTGTTTCTAATGAACTCCATGAGACTGCTGGGCTTTGAGGAATGCCCGAACATGTGACTCCCTCCCTGGGACCCTTGCATGCAGTGGGAGTACTACAGACCCATGAAGGAGATGCTGTGGTAGTGGATAGAGCCCGCCTGGTGGGCGAGGAATGGAAGCTTATCAGGCACGGAGTCCTTTCTGGTGCCTCTCCAGCCCAGTGTGACGCTGGTTCTAGACAGAAATCCACAAACCTCTCCTGGTCTGGGCCCATAGGCACCTTTGCAGTTGGCTTCTGGCCTCAGACATCCCCTTCTTTCCCCAGAGGCTGCCCAAGGTCCTTGGGTGCAGTCCTCTACCACCCACCTGGAGGCTTGGGCAAGAAGCAGCCCTGCTCCAGCACTGACACTGCCCCTCTATCCCATGGGGATGGGGGATCCCGGGGTTCAACCCTGCCTCCAGCCCCTGCTGACTGCAGGAACCCAAGCAAGCCCTTTCTATCTTCTGGGTCTCAGTTTCCACATCTATAAGGCAAGAGGGTTGACCAGATGGCCCTGGGTTTACCTTTAGCTCTGATGGCCTGAGAGTTCATAGTCATCTCATATCCAGCTTCCCCCATCCCATTCCTCACTAGTGCTGCCCTTTAATGCCGTCTTGGCTCTAGGGTCACCCTTTTCCACCCCATCACCCCAAATCCACCCTAGTCCCTCAGCCTTGGGCTCCTGGCCTCTGAGCCAGAGCCCTTGCCCCTGTTGTGGGAAAGGTGAGGAAAATGATCTCACGCCTGGGCCCCCCCAGCTGCCCAGCCTTTACCCACCTGGGGAACAGGTCATGCATGCCAGTCCCTCCTGCTGCATGGGGCTCCTCTGCCCACTGAACCTCCCATGCCTGGTGGAGACCAGGCCACACCGCGTCTGTTGCAGATACTGCTTCCCTTCCCATCATGCATGACGGTGGTGTTTCTATGCTGTCTGGTCCTGTGCCCGTCTCTGAGACAGTCTCTGTGTGGAATTTGCCTTAAACTGAAATAAATTTGATTCTTTTACTAAAGTTCTTTGTTTTCCTTTGTCTTATGAAAAATAGCACAGATGTTGCTGTGTGAGGGTCCAGGTTCTCCTCGCTCTCTTTTTTCCCCTCTTTTGTTCAACAAAAATTTGCCGAACAACTACCGTGTGCCAGTGCTAGGTACTGAGGATGCAGCAGTGAACGAAACATGGGGGCCCTGTCTCCATGTTGAGCTTACAGCAGACACACAACAGGACAGGAGAAGCACAATAAGCACATAAACAAAAGGTAAATAACAATTTCCAGTGGTGACAAGTGTCACAAAGGAAAATAAGAGATTAAGAGGATAGAGAGTGACATGGTGATATTTTAGATGAGGTGGTCGGGGAGGGGGCCTCTCTGAGGAGATGACGGTTAGATGAACCCTAAGGAAATGAGAGAGAGGAGCATGCTGGTATCTGAGGCAAGAGGGCTTCAAGGAGCAGGAGCAGCAAATACAAAGGCCCTGGGGTGTGTTTCAAGGACAGTAGGAAGCCAGTGGGTTGAACCTGCAGTAAGGAGGAGAGAGTAGGGGTTTCCTTGGTGCTCCAGTGGTTGAGACTCCACACTTCCACTGCAGGGGGCACAGGTTCAATCTCTGGTCAGGGAACTAAGATCCTGCATGCCACAGAGGGCAGCCAAAAACAAGGAGGGGAGAGTGCAGGAGATGGGGTTGGGGGTGAAGAATCTGGAATGTGCAGTGCCTTGTAGGTCACAGTAAGGTCTTCAGTGTTACTCTGAGTCAATCAGGGAGCCACTTAAGGAGGTGAGAGAGGTGAGCAACATGATCAGATTATTCTGTGAGTGACTTTATTGCATTTGCTCACTCATCTCTCAGCAAGTGTTAAGTGAGCATTAGTGCCAGGCCCTGCTCAGGTTTGGAGACTTTGCTCACACACAGTCGCACCCTACACAGGCCTCTAACCCCTGCTCTGGAGAAATAAGCAGTAAATACTACCGCCCGAGGGTATCAATACGAAACCAGTGGGAAGGGCCAGGATCTGTGAGTACCAAAGTGGGACTCTTGGGGCAGCCTAGACCACTGGTCCCCAACCTTTTGGGCACCAGGGACCGGTTTCCTGGAAGACAGTTTTTCCACAGGGTTGTGGGGATGGTTTTGGGATAATTCGAGCACATTATATTCATTATGCTGCCGCTGATCTGACGACAGGAGGCCAAGCTCAAGGGCTAATGAGAGCGATGGGGAGCGGCTGTAAATACAGATGAAGCTTTGTTGGCTCACCCACTGCTAACCTCCAGCTGTGTAGCCACGGATCAGTACCAGTCAGTGGCCTGGGGGTTAGGGACCCCCGGCCTAGACAACTCACAGATCATGTGTCCAGGATGAGTTACTGCTCCTGTGTGACAGGCTTGTCTCTCCTCCCTTGCAGGACTGTCATATGGCCAGAATAACATGCAGATGTGCACATATGAATCATGTGACATGCACAGGACCTGCTGCGCTCAATGTGCAATAAACACCACCTTCCTCCTCATGGCTCTTCACATATAAACTCCTGTGGCCATGAGGGCCCAGGATCACAGGGAAAAGGGATCTCTCCCTCCTCTGGGCGAGTTTGCTCTCGGATTAGCCCTCCAGGCAGCCATTCCCAACCTGCACATCACAAGACACTGGTACTAATTACACCAAAGTTTGGGACTTACTTGCTTCTGACGATTTTATATTAAATTAGAGCTGATTCACCGCTATCCTTATAATTAGATGCCCCTCTGACTTGCATTCCGATCCGCTTTGAGTGGGAACCGGGTGGGGTCACAGCACGAGAAGAAGGAAGTTCCCATAACCAGTGGCCTGATTTCCCTCACCTTGGGCACCCGTGGGAAAGGGTTGGGAGGGGAAGACTGCCTGGCAGGGGAATTGAGGCTCAGAGCCGCCGCCCCAGGGCGCCAAGAGCGTCTTCATTGTGCTCAACACAGTAGCTTCTCTCCTGGGTTCTTTCCCAACGATGAGTTCCACGGAACACTGGTTCCCTGGCAAGGGTTTTGGGAAGCTGCTGGCTCCAAGCCCCTCTCAGAGAGTCCCAGGGGCCATCAGAGTGTTCGAGGCTCTGATTAGTCCTATGGCAAAGAGACTATATTTCCTACGCTTTTTGACCATGGTGCATGTGCGTGTGTGTGTGTGTGTTTAGCTGTAACACCGTCACCAAGCAGAACATGCTGTCTTGGGAATTTCAGTAGAGACACATCTCCCTGGTTCCCAAGCCAGGAGGCTTGAAGGAGGGCATGGAGTTGGGGAACTTCTCAGAGGGGATGGGTAACAGAGGTGAAGCCATTTGGTTCTGGAGAGAAGGAAGGGGCCTCAAAAGGCATCCCTGCCCCGGCCACATCAGGAGGAGAAACCACAGAGAAGAAAGGAGGGCGTTGAGGAATTCACAGACTCATGGCTCCACTTTGACTTGACTTCATGGGGATCCTGTATTGTGCTGAGAAGCATGTGTGTGGCAGAGCTGTGGAAGGGCAGGCAGAGGAGGGAGAGGAGACTGAAGGGCCCCCCTCCCCGGACTGTGAGCCCCGACTCAGCCTGCCCATTCAATCCCCAGGCCTTCAGGGCTGAGGACCCCAGGCCATCTGCCCCCAGATCATTCTGCTCCTCACTTCTCAGCCTTTAGAAGCCCCTTTCCCACTCTCATTTCAAATGCCCCTGACTTAACAAAAATAAGATAATGCAAATAATAGTAATGACCCATACTCATTTACTAACCACCAGGCATTCTTTCAAACACTGTATATTCAGGAAGTTTATCTTCATAACAACTTGTGAAAAGGGTACTATCAGGATTCTACTTTCCAGGCATAGAAAGGTTAAGGACTTTTCAGATCATACAACTAGAAAGTCATGGAGCCTATAGGTATCCCTCTGAGCCCCAGGGTGAAACGGGTGCCTAGTTGATCTAGTTGCCATTTAACTGCTGTGTCACCTTTGCTGGGCCACCTTCTCTCTCTGGATCTTCGTCTCCCCTCTGGTAAAATGGAGGGGGTGGGATCTAATGTTGCCAGGGGTCTTCCCATCTGTCTTTGAATTTCAGCCTTCCCATCAGCCTAACCTCTCAGACCCCCACCAGGCCCCAGAGGCTTCCCGGGGCCCTGTCACGTCCAGGCTGGACGCTCTCCATCACCACCCCAGCCCCGCCCACAGCCCTGGGATACCTGGCTGCCAGTGGCCTGCGAAAGAGGTCCCTGAGCCCGGCCCGGAAAGGGCGAGAGAGGTAGAAGCAGAGGATGGAGGTGACGGCACAATTGGAGTAGGCCAGGAGAGTGCAGAGACTGGAGGCCATGTAAGCCACGGGCGTGGCAGGCAGGTCCCCCACAGCTGCCACGTAGCCCAGCACGGAGCAAGGCCCCCACATCAGCACGAAGACCAGCAGCGCTACGAGGATGAGCCTGGTGTTCTCCTGGTGCTCCCGGGCGCTCTCCCCCTCGGGGCCCCGGGGCTGCGTCCACAGGAGCCAGCCCATGTGGCCGAAAGAGCAGCCCAGCCCCAGCACGCAAGGCAGGAAGGCCAGGGCTCCCAGCAGCGTGAAGCATCAGGAGGTCCGAGCAGGGCTCAGAAGCAAGAGGCAGGCCCAGGCCCCCTCCTCCACAACCGCTCGCTGGAACAGCCAGGTGGGCAGCGAGGCCGCGAGGCCCAGGACCCACATGGCCCCACAGAGCAGCCGGCGGGCGCCCGGGCCGGACGGGAGGGCCAGGTCAGGCCGGGCCATGGCCACGTGGCGGAGGAGCGCGGTGGCCACCATGCTGTAGAAGGTGCAGAACATGGTGGCGCTGTTGGCGGCCTGGCTGGTGGTGCAGACGGTGGGGCCCAGCCACCAGTCCTGCCGCAGGAAGCTCAGCAGGAGCGCCGGCACCACGCAGGCCAGGAAGAGCAGGTCAGACAGCGTGATGTTCACCATGAGGCTGTTGGTCAAGGAGAGGAGTGGGCGGGGGGCGCCCGGGCCCTGGCCCACCACCAGTAGCATCAGCCCGTTGGCCAGCAACCCCACCAGCAGGATGAGGCCACAGACCCCCGCAAAGACGAGTCGGAGCGGTCGCTCAGCTGTGGCTGTGAGCCCGGCGGTGGACGTGGCGTTGGCCTCCAATCTCCTGCTCCAGACACACGAGGACGGCGTAGAAACCAGACCGCGGGCCGCCTCCCTCTTTCCCTGCTGAGCGCCCTCCTTTCGAAGACCCCTGCACGTGGTCGGGGCCCTGGGCCTGCCCCAGCCCCTCTAGACCTCTCAGCAACCTGGTGGGATGGGCTCTGTTAGTGCCCTGGGTTCAAATCCCGACTCTGCTACTTGGGAGCGCCACGGTCTGGTGGGGAGCTCCTGTGACTTGTTCTTCTCAACCTCAGCTGTAAGGAATCGAGGAAATAAAGGAAGTAAAACAGCTGTCAACAGTAACCGTCACTCAAGGACGAGGTTGAGGTAATTTTCATTTTCTTCATAACTGCTGTATTTCTAAAATTTTGCAGGGAGTACAAATTGAATGTGATAAATATTGTATATTATTATATATGTTTATTATAGTGTATATATAATCTATATACTGTATTATACATACTATATTACTATATTATATATAATATAGTATTATACTATATATAGTAATATTATATATAATATTAGTAGTAATATATATTACTATATATTGTAGCAACCTGGTGATATATATAGTAATATATATTACTATATATTATATATTACTATATATTATATAATATGTTGCTATATATTATAGTAATATAGCATATATTATAGTATATATTATATGCTTAGTACACTACATATATGTAGCATGTATATATACATATATATACACTAGTGTGGTATACATACCAGTATATTATACTTAGTATAGTATATATATATATGTAGTATAGTATACATATTTAGTATCAGTTCAGTTCAGTTCAGTCACTCAGTCATGTCCGACTCTTTGCGACCCCATGAATCGCAGCACGCCAGGCCTCCTGTCCATCACCAACTCCCGGAGTTTACTCAAACTCATGTCCATTGAGTCGGTGATGCCATCCAGCCATCTCATATATTTAGTATAGCATATATATTATTATATATTTAGTATAGTATATATATTTACTTAGTATATAAATATATATATGCACTACACATGTTTTGGGGCTTCCCTGGTGGCTCAGAGGGTAAGACCTGGGTTCAATCCCTGGGTCAGGAAGATCCCCTGGAGAAAGAAATGGCAACCCACTCCAGTACTCTTGCCTGGAAAATCCCATGGACAGAGAAGCATGGTAGACTACAGTCCATGGGATCGCAAAGAGTCGGACACGACTGAGCGACTTCACTTTCTTTCATACATGTTTTTAAACAAAACCTCGCCCTGCCTGTGAAGTGAACAAGTTTTGATTTGAAGGTCAAGTGGGAAAGTGAACATGCAAGGGATTTGAGAAACTATAAAGCCCCAATCAGTGGTTCCCAGGCATGTTTGCACATTGGGATCAGCTGAGGAGTTTCAAAAAAAAAAAACAAAAACACAAATCCTGGGACTTCCCCATGGTCAGTGGTTAAGACTCTGCACTTCCACTGCAGGGGTCACAGGTTCAATCTCTGGTCAGGGAATTTAAGATACCTCATGCCACTTGGTGCAGCCAAAAAAATCTTAATTCATGGGTCACACTCTAAAGACCTGACTTGATTGGTTCAGGCTTTGACAGTTTTGAAAGATCAGCTTGGGAACCACTGCCTTCAGTGGTCATGCTGGGCTGCTTACCTGGCAGGGTAGGGGAACCACTGCGCTGCACCTGGTCCATCACCTCTGCTGACAACATGGGGGGTCCCAGAGTGAGAGCACGCAGGCTGAGAGATGGGGTCAAGTCACCCCAGAGCTGGCTCAGGGGCTGATGTCTTCATCTTGCATGTCACAGAGAGGCCAGGACTCCAGAGCATTAGTGAAAAGAGGCAGCTTACCCCTTCACTCAGAAACTAAACAAATATTTCCTGAGCATTTATCCCGAGCCAGGTACTGGGCCAACAAGCAGCAAAAAAGACAGGTCAGTGGGATCTTCATTCTTGTTTCTATCCCCTTGTCTCCTGCACAGAGAGTGGGGGCTGGAAAGCCCCTCTGCAGCTGGCTCAGAGCCAGGGGTCCCCTGAGTCCCTCCTGCAGAGGCTTTGCTTGTTCTCAGGGCGCCATGGCAGCCGCTTGCCTGAGAAGAGACAGCAGGTGGGGAGGTCTCTATGGATTCTGCTGCTGACACCCCAGGTCTCAGACTCTGGTTCCAGGGGCTGCAGGGGAAGGAGAAACTGAGGGACCCCCTAATACCCTAACTGCCCCGGATGAATGCCACTCTCCAAGCATTTGTCAATGCTTTTTTGTTTCTTCCATCTGGCCAGGCTTGCCTGCTAATGATATGAAATATGATTGGAGAGGAGGGGAGGGAAAGGGCGAAGGGATGGGGAAAAGAAAAGGCTCAAAGGACCTTGCTGCTGCCCTATCTGTAGTCTATAGAAAGGTCTAACTTCAGGGTTAAGCTTATAGGCACTAGAGCCTGAGTTTAAAGCCTCCCTCAACCACTTGCTCAGCTACGTGTGTGCACGAGCTTGTCGTTTCATTCATGTCCAAACCTTTGCGACCCCATGGACTGTAGCCCGCCAGGGTCCTCTGTCCATGCGATTCTCCAGGCAAGGGTGCTGGAGTGGGTTGCCATGCCCTCCTCCAGGGCATCTTCCCAACCCAGAGATCTGACCTATATCTCCTGCATTGCAGACGGATTCTTTTTTTTATCACTGAGCCACCGGGGAATCCATCTACCATCTACTGGACCTTCTCTGCGTAACTTTCCTTATCTGTAAAATGGGGATAATAACAGACCCCATCTCATGAGGCTGATGTGAGGATTAAATGAGGTAATACGAGTTACGTGCTCAGAACAGTGCCTAGCGTAGCAAGTGCTTGGTAAATGATGGCTAGTGTTCTGATCCTGCCCACTTTCAATTCCAAAAAATCTCTCCTTTCTGCCACCCCTGCCCAGACTCCATTTTATCCCCCTGCCCTCCCCTTCTCACTCCAAACGCTGAGACCCATCAACCTAGTCCCACCCTCTGTTTCTTCATCAGCTTCAAGCTAAGTTGTGACCAGATCCCCCTTGACGGACATGCCCTGAGCACCCACCCCTTGCCTGAAAGTTCACTCTGAGGTCTATCCTGAGTCCCTCCTGCTGCCTCCTCACCTGCCTTGTGCTGCTCGGAAGTTGCTGGGCTCTGCTTGCTGATGTGGGGTCCTTTGACTCCAGGGCAGATTGGTGACCCCTCCACAGCTGTGCTCTGCCCTGAAGCTGGGTCCAGCCAGAGAAAACTAAGAGAAGGTTCTGGGCAGGTGTGCTGTTCCTTCTAGCACCCCACCTCCAAGGAGCTAGCTGCCCAGGGCAGAGACAGGGCTGAGATGGGAGGGGCGGGCAGAGGGGCGACTTCTGTACCAGATTCCCCCAAAGGACAGGGGCACTATCCGCTCTACCACTCCCCCAGGAATCACACCCTGCTGACCTGCCTCATTAACTCGCTGGCCCACAGGACAGAGATGCTGGTGCCTGCCAGGTCCCCAGACCCCAGAGAGAAGGCCATGAGCCACAGCAGGACCAGCCCCCCACTCTTAGTCAGGGCCAGGCATCAATTACACCGGCCCGCATCTTCCTGTCTCCATCTGTCTCTGGCCGTATTTCTCTGAGCATACTAGGGCCTAAAACCTGCTCAGAACAGGAGGAGGGCTGTGGGCTCCCAGGACCCAGGGAGGGAGAAGACGTAGAGGCTGAGAAAGGATCAGTGAGTCAGACCGGTAAGAGAACTGGCTGGATCGCAGGAATCGTTCTGCACTGACTAGAGATTGAATGGGATCCACTAAAGGAATCTAATGTAACCTCTGGTGCCTTCTGATATGTGAATCTTCTCCACCTCACCTCTTTGCCAAGTGTTCCCTGGCTTCTGCTTGTTTGCCTCTAGTGACAGAGAGCTCAGTCATTTAGAACCAAGCAGAGGGATAAGGATCAAGAGCAGAGACTTCTTTAATATATATAATTAATTTTTACTGGAGTACAGTTGCTTGACAGTGTTGCATTAGTTTCTACTTCACAGCACAATGAATCAGCTATACGTAATCCTATGTCCCCGCCCTTCTGGACTTCCTTCCTATTCAGGTCACTGCCGTGCATTAAGTAGAGTTCCCGTGCAGTACAGTAAGCTTTCATTAGTTATCTATTTGATATGCAGTATCAATAGTGTACATGGGTGTCAGTCCCAGTCTCTCAATTCCTCCCACCACCACCCTTCCCCTTGGTATCCATATATTTGTTCTCTACATCGGTGTCTCTATTTCTGCTGTCTCTTTCCTCTGTCTCTTGCCTTCCTCTTTCTCCTTCACTCTCTCTGTACCTCTGTCTCTGGAACTGAATTTGCTTGTCTGTCTACGAAACTGAGGTTTCCTCTGATTCAGAGGAGGAAGTCACCAGTACCCGAATGATTACCAAGTACCAGATTCAGCGACCTTCCCACTCTGGACCACAGTACTTGGTAAGCATTTCTGTGGTTAACGGTAAGATGTGACAGTCAACATTTACAGCAAACACTGATGACAGGAGATAGCACAACACCCGGGGCATCTAAGACTTTCAAAGCATGCTCCCCAAGGGCCCTGAAATCCCCAGCGCCGGGTTATAACGTACAGCCACCTTTCAGGAGGCCAATGTTGTGTAATTCCGGGAACTCTCACAAAAACTCCAAAGAGGAGCCAGTGAATAATCTGAATCCAGTTTTCTGCTGCTCCCCAGGCTCCCCCAGCCTCACCCCAGCTGCGCTTTGAGTGTATCCAGAGATTGACAAGTGTATCCTCAAGGCTGAGGTTGGCGTCAGAGGCACCATGGCTTGGAGCAAGGGGTGAGGTCCCCAAATGTGAGCCCTTTGAGGCAGACCTTGGGAAAAGAGAGTGAGGTTGGGGCTCAGGGAGATGGTGGGGGGTGGGGAATGGAACATACCAGGGGCCATCAGCTCTTCCCCAGGAATTGGATTCTGCTTGAAAGAAACCCCCTGTTTTTGCAAATCAACAGATTGAGAATGACAAGGTTCACCAGCTTTGCCAGGCATGGAACAGTGGGACTGCTTTAATAAACAGAGTACTCTGCAATCAACAGGCCATTTCAATTAGGAATCAGCACTGAAGCAAGCTCTTTGAAAAGTTTCCCTCCCACCCCTCAAGATTTATTCTTATTTCTGACTACAGAAGGAATACCCAGTCATCGTAGAAGATCTGACAATACAAATACATGTAAAAATGAAAACACCCCCACACCTTTACCCTATAATTTTATCACCCAGAGATGTTTTGCCAATACTGTGGTGTATTTTCCTTAAGTCATTTTTCTGGGCTTTTCCTTTCTTTAAAGAGTTTTGACTGGCCCTCCCCATCCCCACCAACCTTATTACTCAGAAAAGTCCCTCTCTGGCATGCAAAGGCCAGCGTTGGTGTAGCCTCTGCTCTGGGGTCTGAGTCCTGACCCGAGGAGGGTTTTCCAGAACTTCTGAGCTAGTCGTCTCTGTCATTGCTGTGTCCAGGCAGGTGGGACAGGAACCAAGGCACAGGAAACCCAGGGAGGTGGCCAGCCGACCCCAGTCAGGCCAGAGCCTCAGGAGCAGCAGCCAGCTCTCTTTGGAGGTTTTTTGGGGGCCACCTCCACCAGTGAGCCCTTCAGGCGCTCTTCTTGCATCTTGAGAGACCTGCGTGAAGATGCCTGGGCATCAGTCCTCTCTCTCACCTGCCAAAGGCAGCTGGGAGGGACCCAAGGGTGCAGCTGGGGGCTGGACCCCTTGAACTTCCTCTCTGCCCCTGCCCTGCATTCCACACGGCATGAAACACCTTTCTGTCTCTTCCCTAGCACTCTCTGCAGCCTACTGTGTGCCAGGGGCAAGGGACTCTGATTATGACCGTGAAGCCAGCAGGTCTTGCCTTGCGTAGTGTGGGAGACCGAGACGGGAAGGGGCCATCAGGACCCAGGAATGGGGCGGCACACAGAGGGACTTCACACCAGATCCTGGAGGGATTTAGGGTGCAAGGAAGCATTGCTGGAGCCAAGACCGAGCATTGGACAAGGGTCCACTTGCAGAACAGAGGGAAGGGTGAGTTCTAGGCAGAGGGCAAAGGCTTAGTGTCAAGAGAGAGCTGGGGGATCAGTGAAGTAAAGCCTCTTCGTTAATTTGTTTATTCACAATATATTTCCTGTGTGCCTGGCACTGTCCTGAATCACGGACCCTAAGGACTGAATGGCCAGAAAGAAGCCCTGGATTCAGGGCTCTGCTGACCGGGAAGCCACAAGTAGGGCTTTTCTTCTAAAGTAAAGGGGGGTCATTAAGCAGTTTCCTGTCCCAGGGAAGACGGGATCAGGTCTGCGGTTCAGCAAGCTGATTCTGAAAGGTGCTTTGTCAGAGAAGGGGCCTAGAGATAAGTCATCTAAAACCCCTCCCACCTCACTCATTTCATTCATTAATTGAACACCGACGTGTGCCAGGCTCCAGGGGGAGGAAGTGTTAGTGTGTCAGTCGTGCCCGACTCTGGGACCCCGTGGACGACAGGCCACCACGCTCTTCCGTCCGTGAAATTCTCCAGGCAATAATACAGGAGTGGGTTGCCATTTCCTTCTCCAGGGGGATCTTCCCAACCCAGGGATGGAACGGGGAGGAGCTGAACCAAAAAGACCTGGCCCTGCTAGAGCTCCAGCCTGGTGGGGAAGGCAGTCAGCATCAAGAAAACAGACAAACTCTGTAATGACAGCTTGCCAGGAAAGGCTCTGTGGGACTTCCGGGCAGTCCAGTGGTTAGGACTCCGAGCTCTCACTCTGAGGGCCTGGGTTCGATCCCTGGTCAGGGAATTAAGATCCCTCAAGCTGCTCTTTGCAGCCGAAAAAAAAAAAGAAGAAGGGCTTTGAGGGACACAGAGAAAGAGATTCAGAATAGTGGTGGGAGCAGGTGTGGTCAGGGAGGGTTCCTCTGAGTGGCTGAAGCTTCTGACTGAGGGGGTCGGGTTGGGGGGCAGGGAGATGGCACAGGAGCCAATCCAGGCCATTAGGAGGCATCTGAATTTTATTCTAAATGCAGTGGAAGTCCCTGGAAGCTTGGGAGGGCACGGAGGCGCAGAGAGGGGAGGGGAGACTTCCTGGAGGTGGGGTCGCTGACAGGACTGGTAGAACTGGAGTCAGGAGACTCCTCGAGGGTTCTCACTCCTTCCCCAGGCTCTGAGCCCTGTGCTTTCTCAGGCGCTTCCTCAGCCGGGCCTCCCCTCCCGCTTCCTCAGCCGGGCCTCCCCTCCCGCATGAGTCAGCTAAAGGCTGTCCAGAAGATCCTGGGTGGGGAGAACAGGGCGGCACTCACCGGGCCAGGTGCACCATGGGCTCCAGGATGTTGTGACCCAGCGCAGCGCTGCACTCTCCAAAGGAGACCCCCAGCTCCTGCAGCCAGATAGATGGGGGTACAGGTGCCGTGGGGGAGACCCCCGAGAGTCCAGGCGGCAGCCCCCGCCACCAAGGACCCAACCGTCAGACAGAGTCCCATCCAGTACATCCCCAAGCCAACCCCCACGGGCGAGGCAGCCTGTCTCTGCCTCCCCATCTCCATGGTCCCCAGCCTTGCCCCTCTGCCCACTGTCTCTCCATTTTGGCTGGCCAAGGTGTCAAAGACGCCACCCAGAAACACCCCACAGCCTTCAGAGTGATGGTGGGAAGCCCGTATTCCAATTAGGAGAAATGTCCTTGGGAACATTTTTAAGTTGCTGTCTGTGTCCGCTCAGTCGTGTCTGACTCTTTGTGACCCCATAGACTGCAGCCCACCAGGCTCCTCTGTCTATGGAATTTTCCAGGCAAGAATACTGGAACAGGATGCTATTTCCTCCTCCAGAGGATCTTCCTGACCCAGAGATCAAACCTGTGTCTCTTGAGCCTCCTGCATTGCAGGTGGATTCTTTACCACTGTGCCACCTGAGAAGCTCTTTAAAGTCATTCGTTGTATCTGTGTATATATATATATATATATATATATATATATATATATATATACACACATATATATATATATTATTTTTTAATTTCAAAAGTATTGAATTGGGGGAAATATTGGGAAATGTAACATAAAAATGTGTAAATACAGGGCTTCCCTGGCGGCTCAGTGGTAAAGAATCTGCCTACTAAGGCAGGAGACACAGGTTCCATCCCAGATCTGGGAAGATCCCACAAGCTGTGCAATTAAGCCTGTACGCTGCAACTATAGAGCTTGTGCTCTAGAGCCCAGGAGCCACAGTTACTGAACTCAGGCTCCCTAAAGCACATGGTTTGCAACAAGACAAACCGCTGCAATGAGAAGCCAGCCTACCGCAACTGGAGTGTAGCCCCCACTTGCTGCAACTAGAGAAAGCCCACTCAGCAATGAAGACCCAGCACAGCCAAAAATAAATAAATAAGTAAATAAATTTTTTAGTGAAAAATGTAAGTGCAAATTATAAACCACTTCTGTTAGTGTTTGAATATATATTGAGTTGACCAAAAAATTCTTTAGAAAAAGAACAGAACGAACTTTTTGGCCAATCCAATATTTCCATTCTGTTTTATATGACCCTTTTATTGGGGGTGTGGAGTGTGGGCTAAATATCATTATACTGTTAGGTTAAACTGTATGAAATTGCTGCTCTGATAGATGCCAAACAGTCAAATATCAGCAATCTCATATGATTCAACCTAACCTGTCCCCAGAGACATGGCTATTTTTCTGACTTCACATTATATTGTAAGCATTTCCTCCACAACCTTAAATATTTTTCAGAATAGGATTCTTAATGGCGAATTCTAGCTTTTTGCATGAAGCTCCACAAATTAACCACCAAATGTTGCCAAGAGTTTGTTCTCATAAAGAACATTCTCATACAAACATTTTCAATTATACACAGGATCTATTAAGTTCTTCTCTTAGGAATTATTATTTCTAACTCTTTCCTTTGGATAAATTGCTGGAGAAGGAGTTCCTGTCAAGGCGGGTGAACTACTACTTTTAAGAGGAAAAAATTCCCACCAACCATGAGCCACAATGATGACCTCATGGTTAGGAGAAATGAGAGAAGAAATGGGAAGGAAATACGATATGGAAATGTCAAGAGGGGTGGTGTCAGAGGTAGGGCTGGGAATGAGACTATTTCCATCTTAATTATTCTCCAGATTTTCTGGAATGTAGTTCAGTTCTACTCAAAAATAAATTGTATCCACACTCCCCTGTCTGGTGGTGGGGCTTTTGATGCAATCTTCCCAGGGAAGAATTTGGGTCTTAAAATAGAATAAATTAGAAGGAATGTTATGTTAATTAGAGACCAGAGATAAGATGAAGATTTGATTGGGAATTTTAAGTGAAGCTTGAAAAGCTTTTTAGCCTGAAGGTAATTTTTACGTAGGTCAGGACACTGTGGGGATTTGCTAATGCAACAGTAAGGTTAAATGTCCTGCCCACAGTTACCATCTCCTGTCTGGGTCTTGGGCCCGGGTGGGTGGAAGGCTGTTAGTCTCTGATTGAGCAGAGGCAGGAGCGGATTGTTCTCTGTGGCCCAGGCCAGGGTGACCTATTCACTACCCCCCAGGGAGGGGTCTGCCCAGTCCAGGCTGGGAGGGGGGCTGATGCCCAGTTGCTCACCTGGGCCAGTTGCTGCCCGGCCTCAGTGGACACTTGCCGATCCTCTTCACGGTCCGTCTTGTTTCCCAAGAGAAGGATGACCACGTCGTCAGACTCTGCATCCTGTGCACAGAAATGTTCCCTCAGCCACACCTGTCTGGCACCTGCTGGGAACCAGGCCCTGGGTGGATCTGACCCTGCCCTCCAGGAGAAGCTGACCCTGTGCCACTTCCTACCCTACACACAGAACCCACTTTCTATATCACACCCACTCCATGCTCTTCCCACCTCTGACATGTTCCCTTCCACCTGCAGCAAACCTACCCCTCCTCCCAGCCTGCAAACGTGTTACCCACTCTCCAAGGCCAACCTCAAAGTCACCTCCCCTAGGAAGCCTTCCTGGATTGCTCCTGCCCATGCCTATCTTTTCCTACCTGTGCTGAATAGCCTAGTGTTAGATTACACAGGTTGCCTTGACTCATCTCCTAACTGTTTCATGGATGATAATAATAATGGCATCTGTTAACGGAGAGTTTACTATATACCAGGCACTGTGCTGAAAGCAGTTATAGCAGTTAATCCTCACAACTCCTCTATGAGAAAAGTTGGGCAATTGAATTCAGAGACTTTAAGTCACTTATCCGAGGTTACAAAGTTAGGATGAGGTAGTTGGGATTCAAACCCAGGTCTCATCAGAACTCAGAACCCAGTTTCCCTCAAATGTTACTTTATTCTGCTTCCTTTGCATCTCTACAACTGGACCAGAAACTTCTAGAGAGAAGACAACATGTCTTTCTTCATATCCCTCTTCTGTGCTAGCACGTACTGTAGAATTCAGCATATGAATTTCATTCATACATACATCAAATACATACGTGGGGGAAAGGACTAGAGATATATGGACAAAGGAATGCTCATCTAGAGTAACGCTAGACTTGCATCATCCCCAGGTGTTAAGAATACATCACAGAGCTTTGGTGTATACAAAAGAAATGGTCACAGGAAGGATACAGGAAAGAGTTTGTTTCGGAGACTATGTGGTTGTGGTTTCTTTGTACTACTATGCTCCCAGCCCATCCAGCCACACGCCCTCAGCAGACGGTCACCCACATGTCGGTTGTGTCCTTTGTAATCCTGGGAGAAAAAAGGAGTGGGAGAGACACAAGCTCCCTCTTGACTGCACACTGGGGCCAGCCCCAGCAGCCGGCAGCTCACCTGGAGACAGTCCAGCCAGTAGCGCACGTGGACGAAGCTCTCCTGGGAGGTGACGTCATACATGAGCACCACGCCGTCAGCCTTGCGCAGCAGCTGCCGCGTCACGCTGTGGTACCTGCCCAGAGAGTCCGCCCCGGGTGATGCCAAGCACCCTCCCTAGGCCTCAGCTGCCACATCGGCTTCTAACTGCTTCCCAAAGAGGCTGTGCGTGCATTTTCCTTCTTACGGTGTGCTTATTGTTGAATAGGTTAACAGTCCTCATGGCTCAGATTTCAAAAGGTACCAAAGGGCATCTAATGAAAAGTCTCTCTCAGGCGACTCTACCTTCATCCTGCAGCCATCCAGTCCTCCCCAGAGGCAACCAGAGTTACCCATTATTTAAATAGTCTCCCAGGGATATTTCATGCATATACATAAATGCATATATATACTCATACACACACACTTCCCTCACACACACACTGTTTAAACAAATACAGTGTAAAACACTGTAGTCATTAATGTTCAATACTCTGTTCTTCGTTTTCTGCAGGTAATAAAATATTTCCCTATTGGTACATAAAGGGTGACTTTCCTGGTGGCTCAGATGGTAAAGAACCTGCCTGCAAGGCAGGAGATCCAGGTTCGATCCCTGGATTGGGAAGATCCTCTGGAGAAGGGAATGGCTACCCACTCTGATATTCTTGCCTGGAGAATTCCATGGACAGAGCCTGGAAGGCTACAGTCCATGGGGGTCACAAAGATACATAAAGAGGATCCTCCATCTTTTCTCTGGCTTCATTATATTCTATTGTGTGAAGAGACTCTGATTTATTTAATTGGCCCACTACTGATGGTGCTTAGGAGGCTTCCAATGTTTCATAATATAAACACTATTGCTGTGAACAGTCTTGGTCCTTTTGATAATATAGTATGAGTTTGTCAGTAGAATGAACTTCTAGAAGTAGAACTTCTGGGTCATAGATGATGTCCCTTTTCAGTTTTGATCACTACTGCTTAACTGAAAAGTCAAAAGCTAATATTTTCAAAGGATAGGTGAGGGGACTTCCCTGGAGGACCAGTGGCTGGGAGTCCAAGCCTCCACTCCACTTCAGTGGGTTCGAATCCTGGTTGGGGAACTAAGATCCCGCATGCCACAAGACGTGGACAAAAAAAACGATTGGTAGATGTGCTCTGCAGGCCATGTTGGGATGGCCCTCACAGTTTCCTCGCCAGGCTGAGCGGGCCTCTGGGTGTGTGCTCCTGTCTCCTGCCCTGGGCCTGGACTCATCTCTCCATCCCCCACCTCCTGAATCCTCATCAGGTACAAGTTGCATTTGCACTTGGTAGGACTCTGGGTCGGGGCTGGGCTCCACTGCTCTGCAGTGTGATTAGTCTATCGGCCACTAATGTCCACAGTGTCCATTACCTCTCCTGGCCAGCTGTGTCCCAGAGCTGCAGTGCAAAGCATTTGTTGTCCACCAGCAGGTTTTTGACTCGAAAATCCACTCCTAGGACACAGAGATGAGAGTCAAGCCTACTTTCAAGTTACCATCCAGGACTTGGAGCTGACACCTGCCTGAATATGCACCTGCTCCCAGTACCAGCCATGGGAGGGCGGTGGGAAGTTTTGGCAGCCGGGCTTCCCTTCTGCTCTGCAAAGCCCATCCACACTGAGGGTCCATATCTTCCGAGAAGCCTGCTCTGCCTACCCAGCTCCCACTGCACTCCCACCCTGACAGCTGGCTGACATGAGGCACCCTGCCTTGTATTTACCTCTACGAAAATACCTGTCTTCTCAACTACATGGCAATGTTTATTCCTCAGGCTACTCTGGAAAATCAGTTTCATTCTTTTATTTTTTTTATAATACTTCTTGTTTCATTCCTAATTATGGCATGCATCTTTCTTCTCTATTCAGCAGGGCAGACAGGCAACCTGGGAGGGTGAAGGGAGTGCTGGCTTCAAGGAGGACCGGTTGGGATGTGAGTTGTCCGCCTTCTGCTGCTCTGCTGACTGCGTGAGTCACTTCACCTCTCTGAGCCTTCCTTCCTCATCTGCAAGGTGGCAATTTAAAAAGACCCACGCCACTGGGTCATTGGCAGGATTAAATGACTTATGTTCGAGGTCTGGTCCAATGTCTAGGGGCTGCTTGGGAAGTGGTCATTTTTATTATCTACTATGAACTCTCATCTTTCTGAACCTCCACCTCCTCAAAATTTCACAGGCCAACCCTTCCCTGGGTCATGGTTCTAGACCGACCCCTCCTGTCCCTGGAAATGTGGAAGTACTAGTGAAATACCCGAGGAGGTTTGGAATCTTTGGGGAGCAACTTCCTGCCAACCCCCAGTTCCCAGGGACACCAAGTGGGATGGGGGTGACAGAGAGAGGCTGTTTTGTCCCTGCTGAGCCCACCATGGGGCTCAGACCAGCTCAGGAAAGAGGCAACTCCACACATGATCCCTGAGCCGGTGGAGACCTTCCTCAAGGTGACACAGTGACCCCCACAAGCTCTTACTTCTGCCCCTGGTGGTGACAAGCCACAGACGCCCCCATCCGTGCTCCCCAGAGGACAGCCGGGAAGTCCTGACCTCAGCAGAAGTCAGTCTGCAGCCTCCATTTCTCTTTACTTCCCCCTTTCCTGAAGGTCTAAGGAAGCCCAGGGTCTGCAGAAACTACTGCGGTTACCCAGTCCCGCCCCCTGTGATGACATCCAGCCTCTGCGTAAACATCCGCGGCATGATCTATAGAGCAACCCTCATGGTTATTCTTTGCATTTAGTAACTTCCATTCCTCCCACTTTCCGCCTCCCTGCCCATCGCCCACACTCAGTCTACCCACGTATCCCCACATGTTACAACTTAAACCACCTAAACTGTCAGAAATATAATGTCTTCTGCTTCCCAAGAAATCTGCTATTTTACATGAACAACCCCAGGGAGCGGGCTGCGCTGAGCGCATAAAAGCGTAGAGCCTCTGGGGTGAGGACCTGTGCTTTGAAAGCAGGTGGCCCCATGTGTGAACTTTGGTGCCCAGATAGGGCCAAAAAGTTAACCAGGAATTCAGTTCTGTTTTCCTCATGTGTAAAATGGGGATAGCTGCAGAAAAACCTCACAAAAATGTGCAGTCAGCTATAATTCGATTGGCTCTGGCTCTGGTCCTCCACCAGCCCTGTTCTCCAGGGCAGACAGGCGAGAGAGCAGGGTGGGAATGGAGGAGGGTGATGCTGAGTGGGGAGATTACAAATGAGGAAGCTGGAATCATCCCCAGTGACAGGTAATCCCAATGGATGACAGCCACCAGGGGCACCAAACCGCAGCTAAGTGTGGGACAGATTTGGATATCAGGGCTTCCCTTGTGGCTCAGCTGGTAAAGAATCGGCCTGCAATGTAAGAGACCTGGGTTCGATCCCTGGGTTGGGAAAATCCCCTGGAGGAGGGAACAGCTCCCCACTCCAGTATTCTGGCTTGGAGAATTCCATGGACTGTATAGTTCATGGGGTCGCAAAGAATTGGACACGACTGAGCAACTTTCACAAACACACTCCTCCCGGCTGACTAGCAGTGTGTGCAGGCTTGCCTTGTCTTTTTATAATTATGCAACCTATATTTTCTCTATTGAATTTCGTGGAAACTTCTCACCACATGATAATGGGAGAGGCTCATAAGTATGAGAGGGCTCTCGTATGGAATAAGGTAAGTGTGCCTGGTGCATTGTAGGTGGTCGGTAACCAGTAGCTTAGGTCAGCAGTCCTCAAACTTTTTGAGACCAGGGACTGGTTTCTTGGAAGACAGTGTTTCCATGGACTAGGGTGGTGGGGGCGGGTGGTGGTTTCAGGGTGATTCAAGTGCATTATATTTATTGTGCATTTTATTTCTACTGTTATTACATCAACACCTTAGATCATCAGACATTAAATCCTGTAGGTTGGGGACCCCTGGCTTGTGCGATTAATGATGGTAGCCTTGCAGACCTTGTGACCCTGTTCAACAGCAGAACAGACCTCCTGTGGGTCCCCTATTCCTGACAACACTGCATTTTTAACTGGTTCCCCAGGTGAGGCTTCTCAGGCAGAGAAAAGTTCAAGAACCTGTCCTGGGTGAGGGGGTGAGGGACTGACTCTCTTAGGTAAAGTTTGAGAACTTTATCTACTGGTCTTGCACTGTTTCCCAGTTAGCGTGCACCTAGACAGACACAAAGACGTGGATCCCTCCGTTTTTACCCCAAGCCAAACATTTCCCACAAGCTCTTTTCTATGGCTTTATACAAGTGGCCACATACCCCAATATTCTTAGGGAGAGGAGGCTTCGTGCTTTAGGACATTTCATTTGCAAAAGCCGCTGGACTAGACATTATCAAAAATGTACTTATAATAATAACCACCATAAAAATAGCTAATATTAACTGAGCAGTTAATATGTGCCAGATAGTATGCTAAGACCTTGATATGTATTAACTAATTCTTACAGTCCTTTCAGAGGTAGCGCTACTGTTATGCTCAGAGGGCTTGAATTATTTGCTGAAGTTCATACCACTAGTAAGTGGCAGAGCTGGGTTCTGAACTCAGGCACTGGTGTTCCTAACTTACTCCACTCTACAAAAACATTCTGTGTAAAATATTCAACTTGCCCGAGGTAGCTTCCTGCCAGAGCCTGGCTGGCTGGCCTAGGGCTGGTCTTGGGCAAATTCAAGCAGCGGGGTCCCTGAGGTGACCTGCCCTGGGGCCATGTGGGTGGAGACCAGCTTGTTTTCACCATCAGCCAGTGCTGCCACCTAAATTGTAGGTGCTTTGTTAACGTGGCACATTATTAGCTAATCAGATCAATGCAGAGGAAGCAAATTACCTATAATTAGAGATGATTAGTAAAATAGCCAGGTTATGCCCGTATAAAATAACATCTAACGCAGGGCCTGTGGCGAGGGCAGAACCTACAGCTTGCTCCGGGATGGTTCGCTCCAGGCCTGCTCCAGCTCACCAGCCCGGTCCCCGGCTCTCCCCTCCCTCCCCGCCTCTCCCCTCCCTCCCCGCCTCTCCCCTCCCTCCCCACCTCTCCCCTCCCTCCCCGCCATCCTCCCCAGGCGGCTCTTACCCACAGTTGCTGTCAGCCCAGTGGCGAAGCTGTTCTGGTGCAGCAGGTGCAGGAAGGAGGTTTTGCCCACATTCGCGTCCCCCAGGAAGATGACGTGGAAGGCATAATCAGGGTTGGCCAAAGGTTCGCTGGCCGCGCGGTCCCCGGGGGACAGGGTCAGCCCCAGGCCTCCGGAGTCCGTTCTTGGATCTTCAAGCCTGTTCTCTGCCCTTGGCTCCCTGGACTTAGAGGGGGCTTGTTCTCCTTCTGCATGGGTAGTTGTAGGCCGGGGCCTGGGTTGGGCTTCCAGCTCAGCCCTGGTGGGAAGGGTTTGTGTGGGCTCTGGGGGCCCTGCTCCATCCCCAGGCTGAGCCCCCATGTGGGCAAAGCCCCTGGATGGTTTTCTGGGAGCCGGGGCTTCTGCTTCAGCCTCAGCCTGCATTCTGTCAGGTGGGCCAGGCACAGGTTGGGAATTGAGCTGGGCGAGTTCTGAGTGCTCGGGTTTCAGGCCACGAACCTCAATGGTCAGCTCTGACCTGAACTGCTGGCCTTCCTGCTCCTCTGCTTTCCTCTCCTCAGCCCCGGGCTCCTCGTCCAGGCTCTGGGGGAGGAAAGCGGGCAGCCCAGGGACCCGGCCATGAGCCTCCCGCAGCTCCCCTGAATGGCCCTCTTGTGCGTCTGGGCTCCGCTTGCCCTGCTCTGATCCATCCATGGGAGCCGAACCCCCAGGCACCAGGCCCTGGGAGGGCTGACCCAGACCCACCGGGAGGGCTCCGGCTCGCGAGGACCCCGGCCTTGGCTCAGAGCCAGCAGAATGGGGGTCCCAAAGGAGGGCCTCTCTCTGCCGGGGCGGCTTGGGTGGGACCGGCCCAGGGTCAGGGCTCTCGTCATCTGGGTGTGAAATCTGGAACCATGCGCTGGGCCCAGCTGAGGCCTGGGGAGGGGGCGAGGTCACTTGAGGAGGGTGCCCATCCTCCAATGGAACAAGCACCTCGAGGGCAGCTGCCACCAGGCTCCCTGACTCCCCAGCTGGGACCCCCGGGAGACCCCAGGAGATGTGGGCCCCAGGGTCAAGCTCTGACTCCTCCCTAGGTTCCAGGCTAGGGGGCTCTCCAGTCTGCTCTGGAGGGCTCATGTCCAGCCCATCTGGGTTCACTCCTTCCTCTTCCTCAGTGCCAGAAGGTGCCTCAGGGGGGCTCCTTGGAGAGCCCCCTGGATCTGAAGAGGGCTCCTGAGCAAACAGAGGAACATGTGGCTCCAAGTGTGAGGTCTGGAACCATGCCTTGGGCCCAGCTGAGGCCTGGGAAGGGGGCGAGGTCACTTGAGGAGGGGGCCCATCCTTCAAAGGAACAAGCACCTCGAGGGCAGCTGCCACCAGGCTCCCTGACTCCCCAGCTGGGACCCCCGGGAGACCCCAGGAGATGTGGGCCCCAGGGTCAAGCTCTGACTCCTCCCTAGGTTCCAGGCTAGGGGGCTCTCCAGTCTGCTCTGGGGGGCTCATGTCCAGCCCATCTGGATTCACTCCTTCCTCTTCCTCGGTGCCAGAAGGTGCCTCAGGGGGGCTCCTTGGAGAGCCCCCTGGATCTGAAGAGGGCTCCTGAGCAAACAGAGGAACAAGTGGCTCCAAGTGTGAGGTCTGGAACCATGCCTTGGGCCCAACTGAGGCCTGGGGAGGGGGCAAGGTCACTTGAGGAGGGGTCCCATCCTCCAAAGGAACAAGCACCTCGAGGGCACCTGCCACCAGGCTCCCTGACTCCCCAGCTGGGACCCCCGGGAGACCCCAGGAGATGTGGGCCCCAGGGTCAAGCTCTGACTCCTCCCTAGGTTCTAGGCTAGGGGGCTCTCCAGTCTGCTCTGGAGGGCTCATGTCCAGCCCATCTGGGTTCACTCCTTCCTCTTCCTCGGTGCCAGAAGGTGCCCCAGGGGGGCTCCTTGGAGAGCCCTGTGGATCTGAAGAGGGCTCCTGAGCAAACAGAGGAACATGTGGCTCTAGGTGTGAGGTCTGGAACCATGGGCTGGGCCCAGCTGAGGCCTGGGGTGGGGGCAAGGTCACTTGAGGAGGGTGCCCATCCTCCAATGGAACAAGCACCTCAAGGGCACCTGCCACCAGGCTCCCTGACTCCCCAGCTGGGACCCCCGGGAGACCCCAGGGGAAGTGAACCCCGGGGCCAAGCCCTGACTCCTCCCTAGATTCTGGGCTGGGGGGCTCTCCAGTCTGCTCTGGGGGGCTCGTGTCCGGCCCATCTGGATTCACTCCTTCCTCTTCCTCGGTGCCAGAAGGTGCCTCAGGGGGGCTCCTTGGAGAGCCCCCTGGATCTGAAGAGGGCTCCTGAGCAAACAGAGGAGCATGTGGCTCCAAGTGTGAGGTCTGGAACCATGCCTTGGGCCCAGCTGAGGCCTGGGGAGGGGGCGAGGTCACTTGAGGAGGGGGCCCATCCTTCAAAGGAACAAGCACCTCGAGTGCAGCTGCCACCAGACTCCCTGACTCCCCAGCTGGGACCCCCGGGAGACCCCAGGGGAAGTGGACCCCAGGGCCAAGCCCTGACTCCTCCCTAGATTCTGGGCTAGGGGGCTCTCCAGTCTGTTCCGGGGGGTTCATGTCCAGCCCATCTGGGTTCGCTCCTTCCTCTTCCTCGGTGCCAGAAGGTGCCCCAGGGGGGCTCCTTGGAGAGCCCTGTGGATCTGAAGAGGGCTCCTGAGCAAACAGAGGAGCATGTGGCTCCGAGATGGAGATCTGCCTGACCACTCGGGGCGTCGGCGGGCCTGGGGAGGCTTTCGGGGTTGGGGGCGGGCTCCAGCAGAGCTGCAGGGCACTGAGGGGCGTGCTGCTGATGCCGCTGAGAAGCTGGTCCCAGTCATCGTTGTCCCCAAAGAGTCCAGGCCGGGGAGCCTCCTCGCAGGAGACTGCCTGAGCATCTGGAGCCTTCTCCTCACCTGCTCTGGGGACACTAGGAAGGGTGCGGGAAGCTAGGGTCAGGGGAGGGGCAGGTAGCTGTCACACCCATCCTGTGTGCATCCTTCATGTTGGGCACACACCTCACAGCTAGCCCTCCCTTCAGTCTTCCCTTCAGCAGGGCTTCTCATCTGGCTCTCACTCCCCACCCCTCCCCTCATCCAATCCTGCTCATCCTTCAAGGCCCATGTGAAGCCTCACCTCCTCCAGGAAGCCTTCCTGCCATTCCAGCCCATCCCACTCTGCCAAGGATCCAGCACTGTTCTAGCCTCTGCACGCGCGCGCGAGTGTGTGTGTGTGTGTGTGAATCCCAGTCATGTGTCATGTGTCATGTGTGTCCAGGCACATGATTTTCCCCGCTCTGCCCCCTTGTCTAAGAAACGGGCACGACAATCCCAGCCCAGTGGGGTTGTTGTGAGGTTTAAGGAGGGAGTCTGTGTGGGGCTTCCCTGGGGGCTCAGACAGTAAAGAGTCTGCCTGCAATGCGGGAGACCCTGGTTCGATCCCTGGGTTGGGAAGATCCCCTGGAGAAGGAAATGGCTACCTACTCCAAGTATTCTTGCAAAGAGAATCCCACGGACAGAGGAGCCTGGCGGACTACAGTCAATGGAGTCACAGAGAAAGTCGGACATGACTGAGCAACTACCATTCACTTTTCACTTGCACCGTGAGCTCTGAAGGCTGAGCAGAGTCTCTGAGAGCTCAAACCCTTTCTCCCCTCTTGCAGGAAGCCCTCTGTCTGCAGCCCAGCCCGGGGGTGGCAGTTACTTGCCTGAGTTCCTCCTCCATCTGCCAGGACACGCGGCCCCTGGCGGCATCCAGCTGCCCCCTGGTCACCTGCAGCTGCCCCCGCACCTCTTCCAGCCGCCCAGCCAGGTCCCGCTCAGCCTCCCGAAGCTGCCGGTTCTCCGAGCTGGCCTCCTGGTGTGTACTGCTGAGACGGTGGAGCTGGGCCTCCAGCTGCAGGAGGTGGTGGGTGAGGGGGAGAGAACCCCAGTTGCCCTTCAAGGGAACTAAACAGCCTCCCAAGACCATGGTGGGGCACCGACTCCAGGCTCCTGGAGACCCAGCTTAAAACATAGGATCGGGTGTTACCCCCTCATTGGCCTAATTAGCTCCATTACCTCCCACCCGGGAGAGACATCGGAACTATGGGGATGGGGAGGGGAAGGGGGAACTGCGTAAGAAGCACAGACGGCCAGCAGCACCGGGACCACAGCCCCCTCTGCTCAGCGCTCACACCCTCCTCTGCTCAGCGCTCTGCGACGACTGATCATCTCTGAGCCCATGTGGTCGGTAAGGAGCTCCTGGTCCAACGGCCGGTCACAAGACCGGGAGACAGAGAGCTGCTTGACCATGCCGAATAGAAGGCAAGGCCCTTACAATAACCTCCAGGACACACAGTCTCCCCCCACCCCACCCCCATTACATCTCTGACCGCCTCTCCCACTACCCCGCTCCCTGGCCCCTCAGTCTGTTGCAGCCTCCAGGTCCCTTTACTGGTCCTTGAACATTCACAGCGCGTCACACCCACCTCAGGGCCTTTGCACTCGCTGTGCCCTCTGCCTGGACTGCTCTTCCCTCGGATACCTCGGGCCCACTCCTCACCTCCTTCAGGCCTTTACTCCAAAGTCATCATCTTAAGTGAGGCTTCCTTGACCCCTCCTCTCAAAACCCTCCTATCCTCCTGCCCTGTTTTACTGCACTTTCACTATCTAATATGTTATAGACTTTACCTGCTTATTTAGTCTATCATCCATCTCCCTGACTAGGCAATAACTCCACAAGCAGGAGATATGTGTCTATTATGTTCCCTGGAAGCTAGCACGATGCCTGGCACAGAGTGGCCATAAGTAGCGGTTGGATGGAGGAATGAATGGCCCTGGGGGAGAGGCTTCACATCCACAGGGGACAGGACAGAATGGTGCTGTGTTGAAAGCCCAACCTCCTCTGTCACCAAAAGGGGCCCGCCTCAACCTCCAAGGCTCCAAATCCACAAGGGCTTCCCTGGGGGCTCAGCTGGTAAAGAATCCGCCTGCAACTCGGGAGACCTGGGTGCGATGCCTGAGTTGGGAAGATCCCCTGGAGAAGGGAAAGGCTCCCCACTCCAGTATTCTGGCCTGGAGAATTCCATGGACTGTATAGTCCATAGGGTCGCAAAGTCAGACACGACTTAGAGACTTCACTTCACTTCACTTCACTTTCAGTCTCCGATGGGCAGCTACTACAGAGGCTCCTGGGAGATCAACCTGTGTCAGGAAGGTGAGACCAGGTAACAGGACCAGCTAGAGAAACAGCAGAGAAGGTTATGGGAACCTGGTCCAGTGATGAAGGGAAGCTGGTTGTCCTGGTTACAACACATGGTGATTTTACTAAGGTCAGTGGCCTGCAAATTTGAGGAAGGAAGGGACAATGAGGGTGGGTCTCAGACCCAAAGGCTTAGCATAATGCCAACTGGAAGTGATTACAGGTTATGAGACCTGGGGTGTTGGGGTAGCAGGTATTCTAACCAGGAAGCTAGGTCAGGTCTAGAGATAGTAGCGACTATGATGTATTGAGCTGGCTAAAAAGTTTGTTCAGGTTTTACCACAAGTTGTTAAGAAAAAAACCCAAACACGCTTTTTGTCCAAGTCAATATAAAGCATCTATTACATGCCAGGCACCACCTTAGGCCCTCAAATACAGTATCTCTAATCATCACGGCAGCCTCCTAAGGCAAAAGTTCTGATCTCCAATTCTCTGATGAGGAAACCAAGGCTCAGAGAGGTTAAAATCCTGCCCAAGGTCACTCAGCTGACAATGGAGATGAGAGTTGAGCCCCAGCTTATCACCAAGCCTCTCCAATGTTGCAACTTTGTGTTTGCCCGGTGCTTTCTGGCTTCGAAGGGTTTTCCCATTTATTACCTCTTTTGACACAACTAGCCGGGGAGCTGCAGTAGATGCGGCTATTCCCATTTTACAGATGGAGAAACTAAGGCCAAGACAGGCAAAGCTCTTTCCCAAGATTCGCATGGCTTTTAATTGGAACAGCAAGAATTTGAGCTTGGACCTTCTGATTCGTGCCCCAGAGCTGCCACTGCCCTTACCTGGCCTCATCGCAGAAAAAGGGCCAGAGACATCGCTTTCCCAAGGGAGCCAGCTCGGATGCAGGAGCCAGCAGCCCAGTGAACCCTCCGGAGGTGGGTGTCAGCGTCCGCGAGTCCTCAGAAACGGGGCTTCCAGGAGAGCCCTTGTCACTCACCTCCTTCTGTCCCTCGGTCAGCCGCTGCACCTCACGCTCCTTGGCCTCCAGCACCTCCTGCATCTGGGAGCTGAGGGCCAGGCCCCGGGAGTCGCTCTGGAGAGCAGAGAGGTCTCAGCTCCCCCTGTGTGGCTGAGTCCAAGACTCAGCTGGGCTGGGCCGGCCCTCCCCACATGCCACCACCACGCAGGCCTGGGGCGCCCAGTTCAGGATGTGTCTACAAGGATGGGGGTCTCAGGACAACTTCCCTGGCCCAGGCAACAAGGAGACAGAGGCCCAGAGAGTGGGAGGAGTGGCCCCGGGGGACCCCCGAGAATTGGCAGCAGTGAGCGCCCCCCACCCCGTCTGTCTGAGCAAACTGTCTCTCCGACAAGGCGATCCGCTCGCAGCAGCCTCCCACTGCCCTACGCTGGCCAGACCTGGGCTCACTGCGCAGGCAGCAGAGGGGTCCAGGGCTGGGGGAGAGGCCGGCTGGGGCTGGGGGGCTCACCTCGGCCTGCAGATGCTGCTTCTCCCGCTGTATCTGCTGCTCCATCTCCTCGTAGAGCTGTTGGACCTCGCGGTGATGGTCAGTGTCCCTCCTGGAAGGGGTGGGGGGGGCAGGCAGCATCCTGCCACCCTGCTGCTGGCAGGGGCGGTTTGGGCCCGCGTTTAGAGCCTACCCTACTGCTCAGCTCACTCTGCCAGCTCACTCTGTCACTGACCCCTGTCACCCTGGGAACTGTCATCCCAGTAACAGCTCCTGACCTTGACATAGGCCCTTGATATGGATCATCTGAGCCCATCCTGCTGACCCCGTAACCATCATCGGGATGTTGGCTCCTGTCTCACAGTCCCCAATCACCCCATCACTCTGTTCCCACTTCCCGCTGTCACCATCCTCCTATCTACTCGCACCCCCAAGCACAGACTCCCTTGCAAGACTGAGCCCATGCCAACCCCACGATCACCACATGCATGGCAATCTACGTTAGTGGTGCCCTGGAGTTAGGTGCCCCAGTGGCCCTACACCAGGACACACTGGCCCATCCCCTCTTTGGCTGAAAGCCTCACTCTGTCCTTCCCAATAGATTTCCTTAGTTACCCCTTCTTCCAGCTCAGCTCTGCCGATCCAGCTCCCAGGCTCTGCTGTGGACCCCTGGTCTCCATTCTTCTGGAGCTAAGAAAATTCACTTAAGATTCAACTAAGGGATTTCCCTGGTGGTCCAGTGGTTAAGACTGCGTTTCCACTGCAGGGGGCGCAGGTTCAATCACTGGTCAGGGAACTAAGATCCCACATGTGGCCATTAGCACAGCCAAAAATAAAAGATTCAGCTAATGTAGAAAGCATCCACTGTGTGCCAACCCGGCCCCAACTCACTTCCTCAGAGTCAGCTCCAGAACCTCCTTGTCGGCCCATGCCTCCTGCAGGCGACTGTTCATCTTGGCCAGAAAGCCCTCCAGGTTGCCTGCCAGCTGGGGCTCCTCCTGCCGCAGCGTTCTCCATAGCTGCCAGATTTCCGCCTGCCTGGGAGGGGAGGACGACCAGAGATCACCCTTGAGCGGGACCAGGAGGCAGAGGGAAGCCCACTCCTAGGTTCTAATGGCCACACTCCAAGAGACTCGGGCAGCTAGGTCACAAAAGTCTCCTTACGCTCTGCAAGCTGCAGTTCAAGTGCCGCCTCCTCCAGGAACCTCTCCCAATTCTGCCCTTATCCCTTCGTGAACCCCCACATCCCTTTGTCTCTCTACGGTTTGGCGATTCATTGTGGGGCACAGGGGATCTGGGAGTCTGATGGGCCAGAGCTTCCATCTGCCTTCTCTCTTCTCCCATTCTGTGGCTGCGTGACCTTCAGCAAGTTCCACGACTTCTCTGAGCTTATTTGTAAAATGCCACTGGAGAATGAGCCTCACCCAGTGGAGAGCACCAGCCTGGGGTCTGGCACTGAGTTGGCGTTCAATAAATGCTGCTTCACGTGGATTTAATTAAGTCGTGAAGACAGATGCCTGAGGGCTGAGCCCAGGCCAAGCTGCCAAGTAGGTAAATCTCTTGCCACCACAGCTGCCCCGCCAGCCTGTATGCCAGTCCCACCCTGCCTCCCCACAGCGCCTGCCCCACCCTCTGAGAGCTTGTCCTCACAGAGCCTGTGGGGCAGGGGAACCTGGGAAAACCTGGGCAGATGGGCGAGGGTGATTCCCTTGCTAGTTCTAACAGAGCCAGTGGGACCTGGAGGGGTGTGCCAGGCGTATTTTCAGGCAGGGTCCCTTTCTCTAAGCATGAGTGAACTCCAAAATCCCAGAGCCCAAGACCATCTCCAAGCCCTCCTGTCTCCAAGCCTGCCCAACTCAGAGCATCACCACACCTGAAATCACTCCACTGGGAGACCCTCTTTTTGGGGAAAAGGTACCCTTGGGAGGTTTGTATTTTTGCAAATGTGGGTCCTGGGACTTCCCTGGAAGTCCAGTGGTTAAGACTCTGCACTTCCAATGGAGGGGGTGCAGGTTTGATCCTTGGAGAGCCAAGATCCCATATGCCACGTGAAGTGGTCAAAAAAAAGAAAAAAGATTGTGGTGTCCCTTTAGGGAGCTGATCCTTCAACTTGCTAATCTTTCTGGGGAATGACCTTGTAGGGCAGGACAGGGAGGGAGGGCTTGAGTGGGATGGACCAGAGTGGGTAGGCTTTCTCCACCCGGGGCTTCGTTTAATCCCACAGCAGTTCTTCTGCTCACCCCGCAGCCAGGGAAACGCAGGTCAGGGGTTTGGCTACTTGCCTGCCGTCGCACAGCTAACAAGTGGCCAAGCCAGGATATCCGCCCAACACTGCCTGGCAGCTCCCTTTTGATCCCGTGTCTGGGCCAGATCTCGCCCCCTCTGACAGGCGGTGCCTGCCCCCGCACCCCCAACCCTGCTGGCCTTACTCAGGAAGTGAGTTGCTAGCTCCTAGTTGCTCCATGAAGGCAAAGAACGCCTCCTTCTCCTCACTGTTGGCCTCCTCCACCACCGGGAAGCTGGTGGCTACAGATCCTTGCTTGGAGAGCAGTGGCCTCTTTCTGTGGAGCCTGTGGCTGCTCGAGCTGGAGCCAAAGATGTTCTCTGTGGGACAAAGGGGGACAGGAAGAGCAGAGTGGGGTTGGGCTCCATCGCTTGCCTTCCCACCTTGCCCTGCACCGGCCCTTGGATAAATGGGTCTATCTGCGTCAGTCACATTTATACAGGGCCAGGGTCATACATTCCTCACGTCAACCTTGGGAGTCTACTCAAGGTAGACCCTGTGCCCATTCTACACATGAGCACCTGAGGCCCAGAGAGGCCAAGAGACTTGTTAGAAGTCACACCGCTGCTCCACGGTGGCCAATACATTCTTTTCACTTGGTCAGGGGATATTCATTGAGCATCGATTATGTGCTGGGGACAAAATTGGCCAAAATATCTGCCCTGATGGAGCTGACATTCTATGAATACTGAAAAGGACACATTTAATAAATAAATAAATTTTCCAAGTGAGCTAAAGGAAGGAACAGGGTAATTTCCATTGAGAGACTAGACAGGGTTTACTTTAGAGAGGGTGGTCAGGAGGGTCCTGAGGAAGTGACCCTGGAACTGAGATGTGACTAAAAGGAAGGAGCAAGTGATGTGGGTTTCTCGGGAAGCATATTCCAGGTTGCAAGAACAGCACATGCAAAGGCCCTGAGGTAGGAGCTAGATTGGCAGGCTGGAGGAGGTGAGTGGTATTGAATGAGCCTAAGAGGTTGGAAGGGTCTCAGCAGTGCTGGCCTGTAAGCCCTGGGAAGGGAGTTGAATTTCTTTTGTAGGCATTGGGAAGTCCCCTGGATCATGGACACGGCTGGACACAGATGTGAAGATGGCCCCTTGGGGCTACATGGACAACAGTGTTCCGTCTGCTGCACCCCTGATTCCAGGCCCTAATTTCCCCTCCCTGCTCCCAGCTTCTCAATCACCAGAGCCAGAGCAACCGTCTCTTGGGAGGGCCCAACCTATAAATGCAGACTCCTGGCCTCCCCTTTCTGTTGTCTCCCAAACTCTTGGAGACTCAGCAGACCCAAGAACTAGGGGTGGCTTTGGCTACATTAGAGGCTGACATTCCTTTTCAGGGTCTCTTCAAGGACACCACTCCTTCCATCCCTGGACCAAAGGTCTTCCCCATCAAGCTCAGCTGGAATATTGTGCATTTCCAGCTTTGATGTCTCTAGGTCCTTCTAGGCCTGTCTTAAGAAGCCAGTGTTGGAGTTGCCCTGCCTAGCGGGAGCTAAGGGTCTGGGGAGCCTCCACCCACTAAATATCACCCTCTGCTACTCCCTGGGGCCTCATATTCCTTTAACCAAAACCAAAATATGACCTTCTCCAGGCAGAAACAAGGCCTGTGGTCTCAAGAACAGGGGGTGTCTGACCTCCTGCTCAAGGGAAAGCTTTCACTGGGGAGAAGACAAGGGAGGCACCAGAAAGCAATCCCAGAGGCCTCTCTGGAAGAGAGGAATGCTCAAGGCCCCGCACCCGCCTCCCAGCAATGATGTGCTCTTGTTGTTGGAAAGGAAGTGAGGTCTCCTGGGCTATAGTCTTAAGTCTCAGCTCTGCCTCGAACCAGCTGGCTTCCCATTCAGGCTTAGTGTTCTCATCTCTACGGTCATCCATGTGACATCCACACCCAGAAGTGCCCTCTGGGGCGTCGTGAAGGTCCTGAGATGGGTCATCACTGCGGCCTCTCCTGACCATTCAGCCTCGCCTTGTGCTCGGCACACCCCCCAGGAGGCCCCCCCAGGACAGACATACTGAGCCCGGAGCTGAACTCTTCAAGAGAGAGGCGTCCCTTCCGCTCCACATCCACCCAGTCAAAGATCATCTCCAGCTCATCCTCGCTGCTCAGGAAGCTGAACTTGGCCGCCTGCAAGGATAGAGGTAAGTTGAGTGCTGTTCCTACTAGGGAAGGCTCTGGGCCACTCTCAGAAAAGGAGAGTGTTTATCTTCAGCCACCCATACCTCCCCTCTCCCCATTTTCAGAGTCCAACCCTCAACCTGACTTCAAGACCGTCCCTTGAGTCTCTTGGACCCTAGCAGAGCCTTGAACTTCATCCTCAGTTTTTCTCTTCCTCCATCCAGCGTCAAAACCTACCTCTTCTGAGTCTCATCCTGTTAGGACTCTAAAAAAGGACAGTAGCCAATCCTCCCCACAACATGTTTATCACTATTCAAAAATGACCTAAAACTGGAAAATAAGTCCCCGAAATGGACAGCACACCCTTTCAGTATTCTACAGGGGCCAAGGCCACCCAAGCATCTTCTAGATTCTATGAATGTACTTTGTCTCATGATACTGATTAGAGATCCCAGACTAAATGAAGTCACGTGTTAACTTGTAGATTCTGTTCAAGAGAGGTATAAATAACTTTTGCCTGATGGAACAAGATAATCCCAAAGATTTATGACCTGTTGTACATTAACCAGCTTTAAGCAATCTACCTCAGCAACCTGATTCTAACATTTCCCTGTTAAGTTATCCTGCTTTTCAAAATGCTCTTTCAACCATTCAGAACATCTCCCATTAATAAATGAGTTAAATAAAATCTCTGTTATAGATTCATTTTATTTTTGTCTAAGGGTCATGATTTTATCTTCTTGGAAATCCTGCTTTAGCGGTTTTGGAGGTTCCATGGAGATGCCACAGTGGACTCGGCCTTCAGAACCCAGTAAGCTGCATTGCTGGAAAAGAGCCCTAAACGGGCTCTGGGAACACAGGCACTTCTTTTATATGTATATATATTCATATATTTATGTTTATTTACTTATTTGTTTGGCTGTGCTGGGTCTTAGTTGTGGCATGTGGGATCTAGTTCCCTGACCAGGAATGGAACCCAGGCCCCCTGCACTGGGAACACGGAATCTTAACCCCTGGACCATCAGGGAAGTCCTGGGCACTGCTTTCCTTGGCTCTTGAAGGGAATCCCAAGTGTGATAGAACTTTGTTTGCTGATTCTGTTTCTCCAGTTTTTATGTTTTTGATGTTACAGATTTTCTGCTTTTGGTTTTAGCGGTAGCCACGATGGGGAATTCTGTCTTACGGGCTGACCATTTGGAGATCTCCATGGAATACATGATGGAGACCCAGTGTCTGTCGGTTGAGACACAGTGGAAAATCTGGTTTGCTAATCTTTTGTTGTTGGTGGTGGTGTGTTTGTTTTTCTGTGAATGACCTCAAATCGGTTAAGAATTTTGTGCCCACTGGGGAGGAGAATAGCTCTTTGAAATCTGAACTGGAGAGTTTTTGTGTTTCTGTGTTTACTTTTGAACTGTGGTTGGAGTTGTAGAAAAGAAGCCAGACTGTCTGTAATTCAGAAAGGCCCTTAACTCTCATTGTGAGTGTGAGCATTTTTCTATACCTGGGTATTAGTGACTTAGAGTACTACGTCCCTTACAGGGGCTCTGGGTGGACTGGTTTGTAGAGACAAATAAGTGTCTATATAAATCTAATGGCCCCCAAAGTCACAGAAAATAAAGAAGCCAAACTTCTAAGGCTTTAAATGTGCTGGGCTTAAAAAAAAAATTTCCTCTTATGAGAACTAGCTAACTCAAAAAACTTTTAAGGAGCCAGGTTCAGATAATTAAGGTGAATCTTTGATCAATTAGATTGGTTTAATAATTTTGGTTTACAAAAGATAAATAATAGCAGTCTGTGTTTCCCCCAACTTATATTAATACAATACAAGGATACATTCTATGGCAAATTTTATGTTATATATATTCTGTCACAGCTTTTTAAAGTTGTGCAAGGCATATGTGTGACTGTAGAAAGTTGTGTTATGTGTTTCTGTGAGCTTTGCTAGTTTACTAAAATTCTGTCCAAGACAGTTCTCAATTATTTACCCATCAATTTTTTTCTGGGAAATAAAAGCTGATTACTTTGTTAAAAGTTATAATCACTACAGTGTTTTACTTGATACTAGAAACAGGAGTGACAGAAAAACAACTGTGTCTGCAAGGAAAATGGGATATGTTTTTGCTCTCCAGGAGATAAAGGAAGTGTTTTTGTTTAAAGTATCTGGCAAAATCTGAATGGATATGGGGGATTGTAGAGGGTTTGTTGAGAGGGAATCTTATTTGCCTTGATTTTATAATACCTGAGTCTGAAAATAGGCTATAAAGTTTATGTTAACATTTTGACAAATTTGGCTCAGTTTTGATGGGTTTATACATAAAGAAAGAAAACTTGTGAAACTTTGACTGCCACATGTTATATTCATGCAAAATTAGAATTTGGCTCCATCTCTATTAAAGTGATAAACTGGTCTTAGAGCTCCAGGCAAGGGTTAAAAGAGGGTTATTACTAGTCTTCTGTGTATGTTGCCCAGATTGCTTCCATGTCTCAGCAGAATAATTTTCTCTGCTTTGTTTTGGCTCAATTGTGTTCTAATTTTCATAAAAACAGAAAGCAAAGCCACTTCCCATATAAAAGAGCTAAGTAAACTTGCAATACTATTGCCTTCTTATAGAGTTGGACTTCCCTGGTGGCCCAGCTGTAAAGAATCCTCCTGCCAATGTAGGAGATGCCCTGCAGAAAGATACAGCAGCCCACGCCAGTATTCTCGGCTGGGAAATCCCATGGACAGAGGAATCTGGCGGGCTGCAGTTCAGGGGGTCACAAATAGTCAGACACAACTTAGAGACTAAACAGCAGAAGTGTTGCCTTCTTCTCTTTATCTCAAAATGCTTTATTTTATTGTCACTGATTAAATAGGAAACCAAGTACTATTTCTCAGGATCATCTCACGATTTTATCTTAATCTAGTGCCCTACCTTCTCTGATATCTCTTTGGGTTTGCCTTTCCAACATCAGATTCTAAATTTAGAAGAAAAAATAAAAATGTCAAGATACCATTCTCTTTATTTGCTAAATACCTCATCACTATTATAAGAGCATCATGGGAAGAACTGTCAGATCAGAAGAGATATCCAGCCTTTCCTAGGCTAAGTTTACATAGGTAAAAAGCCTTTATATAAATATTTCATAAATTGCATGCTTTAGGGAAAGGCCCTAGAGATTTCTCAATGTCTTTGCTATGCAGACTATGTTCTTTAGGGGAAATACTGATCAAACTTCATGAAATAGTTATATACTGTATTCCAACAGAACATGTTACTCTCTTCCATTCTGACACTATTAGGTTACTGTAAAAAGCTAGCGGGAAGCTGCTATATAGCACAGGGAGCCCAACTTGGTGCTCTGTGATGACCTAGAGGGGTGGAATGGGGGAGTGGGAGGGAAGCCCAAAAGGGAGGGGATGTGTGTACACATTGACTGATTCACGATGTTGTATAGCAGAAACTAATATAACATGGTAAAGCAACTCTACGCCAATAAAAAAAATGCAAAAAAATAAAAAAAAACACAAGCCACAGGCTTTCAGTCTCATTACTAAACACATTTCTGCTTTCCTACCCTTTCCAAACTACCCTGAAGGCTTGGTTACAAACCAGCTCAATTCCTGTCTTCCACAAAGTGCAGAGTCAAAGCCTTAATACAGCCTGTACCAGGTTCTATTAACTACTGCTGCTTCGCTTGGATATAGGGTTCTAAGCTGACAAGAGCTCTAAGTCTGACCTTCAGACTGAGCCAGTGGATTACAGTTGCTAGAACTCTTTTCAGTCCAGAAGCAGCCAGCTTACCCAAGATCCAGTGGATCAAGAATTAATCACATGGAACTAAATCAATGGTTGAAGAAAACTGAGTTATGGTTATTTGTTGGGAATACAGTTGGTATGATTATTACTATTATGCATCCCCTGCATTGCAAGGTGGATTCTTAACCACCGGACCACCAAGAAAGTCCCAGTAGCAATTTTTATTGTTTTACTTTTATGGATATTATGAGAAAGTCCTCTCTCTGGATTCTTGAGCTATCTCTAATTTTCAGTTTAGGAGATTATGCTTTTGTAAACTGAAATTTGGGCTTCCCCAGTGACTTAGATATTAAAGAATCTGCCTGCAATGCAGGAGACCTGGGTTCGATTCCTGGGTCAGGAAGATCCCCTGGAGAAGGGAGTGACTACCCACTCCAGTATTCTTGCCTGAAGAATCCCCGTGGACAGAGGAGCCTGTCTATATAGGAGCAGGCTATATAGTCCATGGGGTCGCAAAGAGTCAGACACTTTCACTTCACTTTCAAGCTGAAATTTTATATTTTAAGTGGTATCTGAATCTCACTGATCCCTTCCTGATTCAGAAACCAATACTTTCCCTGAATCTCCTTCCTTTCTCTGGCAATATAGTTATTTACACAGGTTCCGTAAGAATCTGTCCTTCCTTTTACTGGGATACAGTTGGATAGACCAACTGTTTAACCAGATGTTGATTTAAAGGTTGATTCTCATTTAATCAGGTGTGACAAGTCCACTGTAAGGAGCGTTCATGGATGCAATGCCTGCAAAGCTGGCCTGAAAACAGGTAATGTGAAAGGTTACTTTTGGGCAGGAGAGGGACCTTAGAAAAATTGAGAACCTCAAAAGAGAAGTCCCTCACATGTGTAGGTGAAAACTAGTGGAGAGAACCTTACGCTTGGTTTCCATAGCAGTAGGGAAGCCAGCTGGTATAAGTTTGCCCAAGACTTTCCCAGTTTTAACACTGGAAGTCCCACATCCCAGGTAACCCTCCAGTGCAGGCAAACTGAGACAGAAAGTCACTCTAGATAGAAAAGTCAATTTCAGAGGTTTTAAAATTTCAACTTAAGCTTCCATATGAAAACTTCTGGAGAGAAGCTAAAAATGGCTCAATACTGCAAAATTTCAGACTTGCAGAGCCCAATCAAGGAGACCCACCTGCTTTATTTACACCCTCACTACACCTACAGAAGTGATCAAGCCAAACTGAATGAGATCAGCCTTTTTTATGCCAAGAGTAAACCTTGGAGATTATTTATGATCACAGGAAATTGCTGGACATTTGGAAATAAGGTGAAAAGGTACACAGCACATCCTTTCAATATTATATGGGAGTAAAGACTACCCAAGCCTTGTCTAGACAAGAGGAATGCACTTAGTTCATCTCATTGTTTACCTTTCATGAAAAGTCCAACATATTGAAGTTACTTGTTAACTTGTAGATTTTGTCCAGGAGAGTTGAAAATAAGTTTTTTCTAGTAGTACAGACAACCCCGAGGATTTGTGGCCTGTTGGACAGTAGTCATTTTCAAAAATGAACTCAGCAAACTTATCCTAACACTCTTCTGTCAAATTGCCTATGATAGTGGTGGTTTAGTCCCTAAGTCATGTCCAACTCTTGTGACCCCATGGACTATACCCTGCCAGGCTCCTCTGTCCATGGGGATTCCCCAGGCAAGAACACTGGAGTGGGTTGCCATTTCCTTCTCCATGGGATTTTCCCAATCCAGGAATCAAACCCAGGTCTCCTGCATTGCAGGCAGATTCTTTACCGACTGAGCTACAAGGGAAGCCCAAATTGCCTATAAATACTTGCAGCTTCTCAAATGCTCCTTGAGCCTGTCATAACATCATACTGAGTCCCTCACTGATTGATAATAATAATAATAATGAATTAGCTAGATCTTTGATAAGTATTGATTTTATATTTACTCAAAAGTCTTTTTTCCTTACCATTTTGAAAATTATATTTTAACATCAGCCATTTGTACTTTTTTGTGGCTCTGAGGGTAGAATATAGATAGGAAGGGTCAGTTTTGATGGAGAAAGGACATGAGCATGGAGCAAAATCAGGAGGAGACAGCAAGTCCAGTGAGATGCCATCAACTCACATAGGACCCTTTGTAGAAAATGAAGAAAAAACAAACAAAAAAATCAGCCAATCTCAGTCTAGGCCACAGCCTAAGATCCCTTATTGGCATGTACAACATTGGCTGATCTGTTTCACTGAAGTTTGCAGACATTAACAAGGTTTAATTCCCAGGGCCCTGACTGCTCCCCAAGATAAACTTCCCTACTCAATGGGCTTAAAATTATACCATCTATAATTTCTTTCTTTAACTTAAAACCTTTCCTTTATTAAAATGCAAGTGTTTCTGGAAGAGGGTAACACAGAATACCTTATCAGTCATTCCCACCTTAGTGTAAATAAATCCCTAGCTTTTCCTAAAAGCAAATTTGAGATGAGATAAAGGGAAAAGAGCAGGAAAGGTCTGCCTTCCTGGGAAGGGGAGTCTCAGAAGGCAGAAGCAAAGGGATTCAGGGGGTGAGATGGGGTCTTGGACTCACCGCCAGATCCTCTCGAGTGACAAAGCCCCTCTCCTCGGCTCCGCAGTCCTGGAAGAAACGCTGCAGTTCTTCAGCGGACTGGGAGGACCAGGACTCTGGCTCGGGGGCCACTGGCGCATCCTGGCCATCAGCTGGCTCTCGCATCTGCCGCCGGCGGCTGGAGCCTAGCTTCCGTCCTTTCCGGGTCACTCTGAGTCCACTGTCCATGGTGCTTTGGCCTTGGGGACAGAGCAGTGACGGGGTACTGGGCTGCTGAACACGCTCACTCCCTGCTCCAAACTCTCCCACGTCTCCCCATCACCCCTGGAGAAAATCCACTGTGGCCGATGGAGGATCCCGGCCTGATGTGATCTGTGCTGGCCTCTCGGACCTCAGAATCCACACCCCCGACCTGCGGCCTCCAACACATCCCACTCAGGGCCTTTGCCCCTCCTGGTCCCTCGGGCTGGAATGCCCTTCCCGGAGCTATCCACACACCCTCATCTCCTTCAATTCTCTACTCAAGTTGAGCGAGAAGTCTTCTGCAGCCTTTCTAGGTTCTGTTTTTTGACTTGGGGGCGGTTGCACAGGGCGGTCCAGGATCTCACTGTCTGAAGGACCAGGAGCAGCTGAGCCATCCCTCCTTCTGCTCCTCCAGCCCCTCTCCTCATCTCTCACCTTCTTGGAGGGACTCCTCCACCCTCCTCTCCCCACTCCCCCAGCCTCAGCTGGCCCCCAGCCTCTTTTTCCTCCTCAACAACATCTCTCCACCCCTTTGGCATATGCACCAGGGAATCAGTAGCTCCCCACGTGGCTGTCACGGCCTTTCAAGATGTGCCCATCCTTCGCCCCCTCACTTCCGCATCCCATCATGGTCCATGTCAACCTTTCTGAACTGCCCACTGTTCCTGGAATTCCAGATTCTCCCCCATGCTTCCTTCCTTTGCCCCAAACCTCCCCGATTCCCCCACCCCCTTGCCTAGCGATACCTCCTCCTCCCTCACCTTAGAGGCCACCTCCTCTGAGATCCTCCCTGAAGCCCCCCTCCATACTTCAAACACATACTTTATGTGACCTGATGATGTTCTGGGCTCATGCATATGAATGTTAAGTTACTCTGTGCCTCCGTCCACACTGCTCCTAGCTCCCCAGCATATTCATCAGTGCTAAGTCGCTTCAGTCAAGTCCGAGTGGGTGGCCATGCCCTCTTCCAGGGGATCTTCCCCCAGGGATCAAACCTGGGTCTCTTAGGTCTCCTGCGTTGGCAGACAGGCTCTTTACTGCCAGCGCCACCTGGGAAGTCCCTCCCTAGTACGCAGTAGATGCTCAAGTCAGTGTCGTCCTATTCATTCATTGGGGTATTTTCATCTGTCACTGAAGGTCAGGTAAGTCAGTTGATAAGGATTTTGATGGAAAAGGATTTGTCCAGGTGAGGCCTCAAGGGAGGCGAGAAGGAGGCTGGAGTCTGGAAGGAGAAGAGTCAGGTCCTATGCTGGTGGGAGGGAGGGGGCCTGTGGGGGAGTAAGTCACGGGGCACATGAAGCTGTATTGAGGGGAGGGGATTGACGTGGACACAGGCAGCTTCGTGCAGGCGGTGAAACTTGAGTCAAGCTCTAAAGGGGGCTGGTAGGATTTAGAAGACTTGAACAGCGTGTGTGAAGGGACCAGGGCAGCGGAACCCCACACCCACTCTGGGCTTTCTTTGTTGGGGTCAAAGGTCACAGACAAGCAGAGTAGAAGGATCAGGAGGCTCTGCCTCAGGGGTAGGCGGCTCACGGCAGGAGTCTGGGGCCGCTGGTCTAGGTTCCCCTTAAGCAAGTTCCTTCACATAGGTTGCACAGGAGCTGAATGAAGCAACTGCTCACTCTTGAGGAGGCCCCAAACTTTTACTTGAGGTCGAGTCTCCGCCTCTCACTAGCTCCCCATCAGTTATCGCCTTTTTCTCTTCCCTTTTTCTCTTCCCTTTCTCTCCACCTGGTTTCTCTCCATTTCTCTCTGTTTCTGTCTGTCTGTCTGTCTCTCTCTCTCTTCAAAGTCTGCTGCAGATGCAGTTTTGAGATTACAGATGTAAGGGACTTCCCTGGTGGCACATTGAATAGGAATTCACCTGCCAACGCAGAGGACACAGGTTCGATCCCTGGTCCAGCAGGATCCTACATGTCACGGAGCAACAGAGCCTGCACACCACAACTACTGAAGCCCGCGTGCCCTAGAGCCCGTGCTCCACAGCAAGAGAAGCCACCGCAAAAAGAAGGCTGAGCACCGAAACTAGAGAGGAGCCCCCACTCACCGCAACTAGAGAAAGTCTGCAGGCAGCAAGGAAAGACTCAGCACAACCAAACATTAAATAAATAAATAATAAACAAATTGTTTTTTATAAAAAGATTACAGATGTCAAACTGCAGTGGTACACTGGAGTCACATCTTAGGGACTTGCAGAAAACCGGTTGTGAGTCTCTCTTCCCAACTCAGCAGCTTGAGATCAGCTGCTGTGGGAGTATTTATACCATGGGAATCAGCAAAAGTTACAAATCAGTTTCTTCCCCCAAAGAACAGTCACCAGCACATCTCTTCCCAGACCTAGCATGCATTTCAGTGACCACTGTTTACTGAGCACCAACTGAATGCAGGCAGAGTGGGAAGCGAGCCTGCCGTGGTGTGTGTGGCTCCATTAGGCAAATTAGGAAAAGGGTTCCTTCCTCCAGGCAGATGCAGCCCAGGGCCAGGGCCCAAGGGCTGGCAAGTGGACTGTTGGCTGGAGTCTAGTCACCTCTCCCCCAGCTTTGATCAGGTACCTTTGTGCAGGACACAACCTAAATACCCAAGTGGAGCCCCTGGCCCTTTACGTATATAAGCGTGGACTAACTCCTGGTCTCCCTTGGAGGTACTCACATGGCTTCATGCAGAAGAAGACACAAGATTAATTACAGCACGGTGTGGAAGGGGCAGCAAACCTGTGCGCCAAGTGCTGCAAAGTGCCAAGAGTGGCAAAGTGCCAAGAGCTGCAAGGTGCTGTGCAAGTGCCAAGAGCACTACAAAAGGAGCAACTCACTCAGCAGTGTCTATCAGGGAGGACTTCCTGGGGGAGGTGACATAATTTAGCAGTAAGTTCCAGGACAGAAGAGATCAGACTTAACCCTGGATCCCCTCATGCTGCCCAGCCTTGTTCTGGGCATGTGTTGGGCCCTCAGTTACTCACTGTTTCCTCTTCTGATTCACATTGTCCCTCAGAATGTGGGATGTTCTACCAGACAACTAGTAGACTCAAATAATACTGATATTGTAAAAGGAAAAACAAGGCAGGGGGACTGTTCTATATCCAAGAGAATAAAAATAGGGAATTCACTGGCAATCCAGTGGTTAGGACTGCATTCTCATTTCCAAGGGCCTAGGTTCAATCTCTGGTCAGGGAACTAAGATTCCACAAGCTATATGGAGCAGCCAAAAAGAAAACAGAGAGAAAGAGAATAAAAATAAATAACACCTAAATATAGAATGTGATTGTTAATTGGATTCTCCTTCAAAAAAAAAAAAACAACAGTACAACTAAAGGATATTTTGCGGACAACTGGGGAAATTTGAATATGGACATTATATCAGATATTCACTGAGCAATGTGAAATTTCTTAGGTGTGACACATGTTGTGATCATGTAGAAGAATCTCTGTCTTTAAGGGATCCATGCTGAAGTTTATATAATGTCTGCATTTCACTTTCAAATGGCTCTGCCTAAATACATAAGCAAATTAAAAGGAAATAAGTGTGTGTGTGTGTGTGTGTGTGTGTGTGGAGAGGGAGTAAATGGGGCAAATTGTAAGCCATCTGTCCAATAGCTTTCATTGTACTATTTGCTCAACTTTTGTAGATTTGAAAGTTTTCTTAATAAAAAGCAGGGGAGGTGGGAATTGCCTGTTGTCCAGTGGCTAGCTTTCGAATTGTGATGCTGGAGAAGACACTTGAGAGTTCCTTGGACTTCAAGGAAATCAAACCAGTCAATCCTAAAGGAAATCAACTCTGAGTATTCATTGAAAGGACTGCTGCTGAAGCTGAAGCTCCAACACTTTGGCTACTTGATGTGAAGAGCCAACCCATTGGAAAGACCCTGATGCTGGGGAAAATTGAGGGCATGAGGAGAAGTGAATGACGGAAGATGAGATGGTTGGCTAACATCATCGACTCAATGGACACGAATTTGAGTAAACTCCAGGAGATAGTGAAGAACAGGGAAGTCCTTGGGGCTGCAAAGAGTTAGACACAAATGAGTGACTGGACAACAACCAGTGGTTAGGACTTTGCACTTTCCCTGTTGAAAGCCCAGATTCAGTCTCTGGTTGAAGATCTGAAATCTCTCAAGCTGAAGGGCAGGGCAAAAAACCAGAGGGGGAAAAACCAAACCAAGAATGAGATTCCAGGAGTTAGAATAGAGAATTTCATCTACATTTTCATCCACAAATCCAACTGTCTTTCCGCTAGTATCAGTATCTCCACAGCCACATCACCCTCCAAGCTCTCCCTGGAGACAATGACGAGATACACACCCCTCCTTGGGCTGCATCTGTCCACACCTGGAAGTCACCATCCATCCTCACTCACCGTCTGCCTTAGAGGGGGGTCTCCTCCCTCCATGACCCAACAACCTTCCAATGGGCTGGGCCTTGGGCCTTGTGTGTTGTAATCAAAGAAACACTCACTGAGCATCAGTACCAGAAGAGGGTCCATCCCCCCCTCTTGACCCATAAATTTGGAAAAAGAGGCCAAGAGAGGCAGTGATTTCCACTCCCACTGCTCTAGAGTCAGGCAGACTCTGCCTCTTCGAGCCCTGCCACTCACAAGCTATGTGGCTGCAGGGAAGTCACATAACATCTCTATGCCTTATTCTCCTCGCTGGGGCATTAGACTAGTATCTACCACACAGGGTTGCCGTGAAGATGAAATAAGACAATTGAACTAGAAATGCCACTTCCTATTCCTAGCAGAGCCCAGCTCCTGTTTCGCTTTACTTTATTATTTTTTTTAATTAACTTCTTTTGGCCTCACTACGTGGCTTGCAGGATCTTAGTTCCCTAGCCAGGGATTGAACCCATATCCCCTGCAGTGGAACCTTGGATTCTTAACTTCTGGACCACCAGGGAATTTCCCCAGCTTTACTTTCTCTCAGCGCTTGTCACCTTCCCAGAATAGTCTTTTATTCATTTATTTTGTAAAATTTGCACCTCCTCTTACTGAAT